TTGCATGGATGGGTTCACGTGGTGATTCCACGCCAACATTGGCTGATGTAGATTCCTATGCCTACATTGGTCCCGCTTATGTTAATTTTGTTGATATCTTATCTCAGTGGGTTGTATGGTATAACATTTTATCAGTTCCATGCCACCGTTGGTACTCCTGATGTTGGTGTCCGAAGCTTTTGCGGTAGACGTTAATAAGTTGTCTTTTTCCACGTCCATGTTTGTCCATGTGACTTTTTTTTAATTTGGAAAACATAAATCTTAAAAGTAAACAGAAAATACAATCCGATACAAACATTGATCCTGGTAATGATAATATTCGAGTTGGACAAGTATCAGAGTAAAAACTAACCATACTCACATGTATGTCGGCCGCTGGATATTGTGTTTACATTCAGGAAATCAGGATTATGCAAATGCTGTATTATGATAATTGCAAATGAGATTTTGAATGAATTGCACTTGCGTGACTGTTGGAGTGGACAGGATAATTTTAAGTGTATTTTATATAACACAATAAGATATATGCTGTATATAAGATGACAGGATGCTCTAGGCCTTTTATGTTACAAGGTAGAATCATGGCGATACAAATAGAATAATCCGTTCTTTATGTTTATTTCATAACATGAATTAATAACTCCGCTATGATTATACAACGAAGGTCCCATATGACTTTACCGGGCAGGAATGTTTATAATATCAATCCACTGCTGTTACGTTACCATATCAGAATGCAGTGACCAACTCTACATTATCATTTCACTGTGGTAAGCTGGTTGATGTAAGTTATGATGTTCCTAACACTTCCCTCATAATGTGCTGTACTGATGCTTCAAATGTAACATACTTTGTGATTTGCGGTATGTTCCTTAAATATTGGCCTTGTAACATACTGTGAATCCAACAATGGCTAATACTGACAATATAAACATATGTCCAGACTTATCACCTTTTCAATCATTTGATTAATCCGGTTGGTTTGGTCTTCTAACAAGAGTGACTGCACTCTAGCTATACTTTCATTTAAAATTGATAATGGAACTCTTTCTTAATCTTACGATAAAATGTCCACTACACATTTTCGCTTTCAAACATAGCTTCCCTCAACACGTCAGCTATCTCTAAACTATCCGCTAATTTTGAAATATTGCAATATAATTCTAACAGTGGGAGATAAAGAAAAGTTTTCCATAGATACACTCACCATTGATAGAGAAAATAAAACATGCCACGCCTAATACTGCAGCGAAGGAACTCCTCATCCTGATACCAGCGCGGCCCTGCCGCACAGTCTACTGTCGTTATATAAGGCACGAAACAGCTCTCGGGACAGATGTGCCGTGTAAATGACACACACACACATAGCAAGTAATTTTGATACAGACTTATGTATTTGAATAATTCATAAGGCATGTGTTACATTTGTTTTTTGCCTTTTTTATGTTACACAAATTAAATTCCATGTAAATGATTTGTTTGTTTGATAATATACACGTTTGTACATGTTTTATAAGCGGGGTTAAATGTTGTAATGGTCAGATGGAGGTGCAATGAAAGATTAGTTATAACATTTTTATCTTAAGCGAAGTCCAGGAACTATACAAAACTTGACATGGAAACCAATAACATTACAAGCATACAGTGTATCTATTACATATATGATTATATAATTGAAATTAGGAAATAATGATTGTGATAAATTGATGAAAAAAAAACACGTCAACATTGAAGTGCTAATAAGTGAAATCACTAGTGTTGAAATTATTATATAACTCCTCTGTGACGATATAACTTTCATGATGTGACCAATCACATTGGTTCTTTCATGTCACTGCATTGATATCCCCCTATCTCGTTATATTAGGGTGCAAATGTTGCCAAGACTGGAAAAATTGGTTTTCTGTCAAATACTAACGGGTCACAAACCTGGTGTTCTCTAATTTTACATATCAAAACATTTTTAATCGCTGCTTTATCCAGTGTTTGGGTGATATTTTTTCCCATCTGTTTTTCTTTTTAAAAACTGATAACAAGAAATTTTGTTTTACTTTAAGCATAAAAAATTCCATATCCTCTATATACTGAGTCGGTTTAATCAAAACAACCTGTAGGAAATCTTAGTTACATCAGTGGTGATGAAATAACTTTTCAGTTGATCATATCTCACGGTATTGATATTCGTCAACTTTCGGGCGTAAACTCACTGTATTGATATTCGTCAACTTTCGGGCGTAAACTCACTGTATTTAATATCCGTCAACTTTCAGGCGTAAACTCACTGTATTTAATATCCGCCAACTTTCGGGCGTAAACTCACTGTATTAATATTCGTCAACTTTCGGGCGTAAACTCACTGTATTGATATTCGTCAACTTTCGGGCGTAAACTCACTGTATTTAATATCCGTCAACTTTCAGGCGTAAACTCACTGTATTTAATATCCGTCAACTTTCGGGCGTAAACTCACTGTATTGATATTCGTCAACTTTCGGGCGTAAACTCACTGTATTGATATTCGTCAACTTTCGGGCGTAAACTCACTGTATTTAATATCCGTCAACTTTCATGCGTAAACTCACTGTATTTAATATCCGTCAACTTTCGGGCGTAAACTCACTGTATTAATATCCGTCAACTTTCAGGCGTAAACTCACTGTATTTAATATCCGTCAACTTTCGGGCGTAAACTCACTGTATTGATATTCGTCAACTTTCGGGCGTAAAACTCACTGTCTTGATATTCGTCAGATTTCGGGCGTAAACTCACTGTCTTGATATTCGTCAGATTTCGGGCGTAAACTTACTGTCTTGATATTCGTCAACTTTCGGGCGTAAACTCACTGTCTTGATATTCGTCAACTTTCGGGCGTAAACTCACTGTCTTGATATTCTTCAACTTTCGGTCGTAAACTCATTGTCTTGATATTCGTCAACTTTCGGGCGTAAACTCACTGTATTGAAATTCGTCAACTTTCGGGCGTAAACTCACTGTATTGACATTCGTCAACTTTCGGGCGTAAAACTCACTGTATTGATATTCGTCAGATTTCGGGCGTAAACTCACTGTATTTAGTATTCGTCAGCTTTCGGGCGTATAAACAGTGAAGGTTTAATTCCGTGTGCATTTTGAGATTTGTCTGTTTTATTATCTTTAAATAGTTTTGTATTAAATTCTTTCTTCTTATTTGAATATTGCGTACAACGGTCAGGTTTAAAGGCCATCGTTTTGCTGTCAAGTGGAACGTCATTATGTCACATAAAACGTTATTTCCCGAACTTCTCTGAACATAGTTTTATCTTATGCTAAATAGATCTTGTCCTGGTTTTTCCCAATTAAAGATGTACTAAAACAAACAGAAATTGATTATCCTCTATATATCACATTAACTCAGTCAAAAAAGGAAATAAAACAGAGTAATTACAGACATAATGTAATAAAAACCCCCCCCCCCCCCCCCAACATGGCTAATGCTAAGTTCGATTTTAAGTTCATCCAGAATAGAACAGGGGGTTACAACTTAGCATATAACGGTCATTTATACAGGATTAGGACTTCTCGCGGAGAAAGGTAAATGATTATGTAAATGATGATTATGTAAATGATTATGCATAGATTTATTATCTATCAATTTAACAGAGTAAGAAGTTGATTCAATTTTTAGAAGGACATGAGTATGTATACATGTACTTTCTGTCTGCAATACTGAAGTATTAAGAGACAAAATATCAATAATTAATTGTTGATTTATAATGATACATCTGTAATATCATTTTAAAGCCATACATCTGTGAATATGTAAACCCGCCTGTGTCATCAATATTGAAATCTGTTTGTATTCCTTTCAGAACTTACTGGAGATGTACTATCAGCACCTGCCTTGCTACTGTAAATACCCGCAACAACATCATAGTAGGAGTCGGACGACATCCACACAACCACCCACAAGTTTCTTCTTTGAAGTTATATGAAATGATGGACTTTAGTGCATATCAGTATACATTATGTAGATGCTGCTGTGTGTAGCGTTAAATTGAACTTTTAGTGCTGTAAATAAGTTTCTTCTTTGAAGTTATTATTAATGTTAATTTTTTAATATTTGTAACTGATATCCTTCATGTAACTTTGCAATCGAAAATAAAAAATTACAGGTAGATCCACAGGTAAAATATCTCAGGTAAATGCAGTACCTATATGAAACAGACTATAATTACCATCCCTTTGATGTTTCTACCTATTGTCATGGACATGTTTGCGTTCAGGGAACACCCCCATTAACTACCCAGTTATAACACCAGATACGGATATTTTTGTGATGACGCGTTATAAGAACTAGTGAATCGGAGGTGTGATTGGTTAAGATTCTTTTTGTTTTCGTTATGGCGTAATGTGTATTGTGACGTTACCAAAATGAACTATAGAGAAAGAGTATCGCCAATTTTAATTCTGATCAGTCAGATTTTTCACAAATGTTAAATTTTCAGCTTAGTTTTTTGATGAAAAGATTTTTTTTTAATATAGCTGTATTCCATACCAATGTTCTGAAACACGTTATGAATTTTTAGTTTTCCTTACCAGAGACATTCTATGACTTGTCCCATACATCTGGTATAAAATCATGTACGATCCTGTATATAACGGATCCAGTGTGTACAAACACTTAATACGCCTAATGTTATAATTCTCTCTGTTATCTGTTACAACTGTTCTGTAAATCAATACTCAGTACTGTCGTTCACTGCATGATTGATAGAAATACATCGAAAATCAGTTTCAGGTGATTATAATTGGATTAGATCAGATTTAACAGTACGGATTGCTGTATTCAATACACGGAGAATTGCGACGAAAAAAAATGCGATCGAGATCGGATGACATGTTTAATTCCAACCACATAATCAATGATCTTGTTTTCCTCGATAATATATTTTTATTGGTCAGTTTTCTTTTGGATGGCAGCTCACGTGATATTGACAAAGGTGTTATCTCACATTGTTATTCAGCTGTAAGCCGAACATCCCAACTGTTCAATTTCTCTCCAGTAGTGAAGCGTAGAGCTGTGTGTACATCCGGCAGGACCACCGGCGTGAATCCGGGCGTAGCTCTCACAATTGTGAGGACAGCCATTATGTGAAATGTAGCGAGACATGTACTGCTGGACACATTTGGATGAACATTTCAGGTCGAAAGCACACGCATCCAGGGCTGGAAATGGTTCAAATATACATCGTATTACATAAAACCTTTAACAGAATACAGGCCGCAGTTGTGAGGAATCATTGATAGTCTCGGTGATGTACTTTCTTATACCTACGAAATACATGTACTCACTAAGATATCTGTAATTACCCAAGTTTAAGGACCATTCGCCAGTATTACTGAAAATGAGAATTAAGGAAGTCTAGATAAACATATCAGCCTGAAACATTAACTACCTGTAGAATTGTCTGCTGACTAATGCCAGTAAATTGGTTTAGAGAAGCCTAGAACATTATATACTTAAATATTGCTGATCGACTTACACCCTCCAGGCATCCCACAGTCCCTCCAGTATCCTTCCATCAGCTGGAAATATCCACATGCCGGGGCGAAAACCTCCCACTCGCAGCGAGCAGGTTTGCATCCAGATGATTGCTAGAAATATATGAAATATCAGGCCTTTAACCAGAACCATGATGGAACATTGCTGCATCAGAAATTTAGAGACCTCTAACCAGACCCATGATGGAACATTGATGTATCAGATATTTAGAGACCTCTAACGAGACCCATGATGGAACATTGCTGTATCAGATATTTAGAGATCTCTAACCAGACCCATGATGGAACATTGATGTATCAGATATTTAGAGACCTCTAACCAGACACGTGATGGAACATTGATGTATCAGATATATACAGGCCTCTAACCAGACACGTGAAGGAACATTGATGTATCAGATATGTAGAGGCCTCTAACCAGACACGTGATGGAACATTGATGTATCAGATATGTAGAGACCTCTAACCAGACGCGTGATGGAACATTGATGTATAAGATATGTACAGGCCCCTAACCAGATACGTGATGGAACATTGATGAATCAGATATGTAGAGGCCTCTAACCAGACACGTGATGGAACATTGATGTGTCAGATATATACAGGCCTCTAACTAGACACGTGATGGAACATTGATGTGTCAGATATATACAGGCCTCTAACCAGACACGTGATGGAACATTGATGTGTCAGATATATACAGGCCTCTAACCAGACACGTGATGGAACATTGATGAACATTGATGATATATACAGGCCTCTAACCAGACACGTGATGGAACATTGATGTGTCAGATATATACAGGCCTCTAACCAGACACGTGATGGAACATTGATGTGTCAGATATATACAGGCCTCTAACCAGACACGTGATGGAACATTGATGTGTCAGATATATACAGGCCTCTAACCAGACACGTGATGGAACATTGATGTGTCAGATATATACAGGCCTCTAACCAGACAGATATATACGTGATGGAACATTGATGTGTCAGATATATACAGGCCTCTAACCAGACACGTGATGGAACATTGATGTGTCAGATATATACAGGCCTCTAACCAGACACGCGATGGAACATTGATGTGTCAGATATATACAGGCCTCTAACCAGACACGCGATGGAACATTGATGTGTCAGATATATACAGGCCTCTAACCAGACACGCGATGGAACATTGATGTGTCAGATATATACAGGCCTCTAACCAGACACGCGATGGAACATTGATGTGTCAGATATATACAGGCCTCTAAGCAGACACGTGATGGAACATTGATGTATCATATATATACAGGCCTCTAACCACACCCATTTTGAAATATTGATACAGTATATATAGATTACATGATCGTCATATTAAATGTAATGGATGAATTATCAGACATTGAATTACAGATATTGAGATAAGTACATTTTAATTGAATTAAACGCCCTCAACATTGTGACCAAGTAACAATTTTAAACTAATAACAGTATTAGTCCAAGATTACTCTGACTTACGTGACAAATGCAGTCTAGGCAGTGTTGTGATACAATGCCTGGATAAAAGTAAAAATCCATCATAATAAATCACACAAAGCATTCATAATTCAGAAACAATTCATCAAACTAAGAGTACAGTTATATGAGCAGCGTACAAATATCAGAAAAAACAATACTATATTTAAAATTTCATAATATGAATAATAATGATCCTGTTCGCCGTCGATATACCTGCACATATAGTGAAGACACCATAGCCGAGAATAGAGTCACTGTCTTATCTGACAGTCGTTTGCCTTCATAATACTGTGATACTCTTAACTCAAGAAGTGAAATAAGTAGTATGAGGATTTTAAAGAACTCTAAAGAGCTTTTACTCTATCTTCAATTCTTCTGCTGAAAAAGTACAAGGAGAATAAGACCTGGTGTTTCGGAAGTGTAAGCGTCTTCTGCTTCAACGACGACACATGCCAAGTAAACCTTGGTCAATACAAGTAAGTAATGTCACGTTCTCAAATGAGAACAAGGAATTCAACCAACAGGCAATATGACGAGCTTTAAATACGCCAGCTTCATATCACACAAAGAAACTGTTTAATGCGATCGCTATGCCGACCATAAAACTTCCCCATAATTTCCATCAAACTGCATCTTTTGAACCTCCGTGTTACGAGTTTGTCCGTGAATTTACGACTTCTTGCACGAAAATTGATAATTATGATAATAATTGATAACGGGGAAAGGTCCTTGAATAACGAATCAAATGTGACATGGAAATACAATAGGTTGGAGACGTATGGATAATGCTATCCACAGATGGAAAATTCACAATAGGCGGGTTGAAATCATCACTCTTATTATACAGGTTAGTGGAAAGCTGTCCATGTTGGTTTCGTTGTAGGAAAAGATCGTGATAAGCAGCTGATCTAGAAGAATCTGTCGTATCTTTGATTTCCAGTTCTAGTTGATATATACAATGGAAGTAGTCCATAAATGTATTGTTATTTAAAGACAAAGTCTCATTAGTATATCTGAAGCTGAAATCAAACGACATTGCAAGGTCTTTGTGACCTGTTTTGATAAGCTCTTCAATAAATTCAACCTCGTATGAAAAGAAAGAAGTCAGCCAACAGAGGGGCGCAGTTAGTTCATATAGGTAAGCCTATAGACTGTTAGAAGATTTTATATGTAATTCTCATCTACATTCTTCAGTTTTCATCAGATGTATCAGGTAAGTATTTCATCTTTTGTTTTCCAATCCTATGCCTGTTATAATATTGTGAAAAGACGCACTATACAGCTGTTGTGTCTTTTACGAACTCGATGGTGATGCTAAATGTCTTAATTATCAAGTAGCGAGGAAAACCCTATTTATAAATAATAGTGAATAAATACATGAATTAGATTTAGAGGTACACGAACAAGAAACTTCAATTAATTCCATAATTGTCAATTTCAATATTATTTCATTTGATCTTCAAACACGTGCGTTTATTCTGAATTGTGCTACCATTCGAAGGTGTTGTAGCATAGAGAGCTGGTTAAGGAAAACTTGGAGGACTTAATGTTAACAAGCAATATCTACCACCAAAGACCTCTAACTAATTACTAAAGACACAGAAAAATAATAAATCCACAAATGATACGTCATATGGAAATAACTCAGATATATTCATTAAAGCACGAAGTTACTTCCCTTTATGTATAAGAAAAGCTGTCGTTAATTGAATCCTTACCTGTAGTGTAGGTATGGTGTGTCCCACTACTACTGGAATTAAAGTGTGACCCTGCACTGCTGATACAGTGTGATGCCGACGATGACTGTAGAAAGTCCCCGGCTACCCAAACTCTCTGTTAATATCAAATGTATCTAGAGCAAGAGAGCAAAAGTGACGGATAGCAATGTAACGGTCATAGAACAAAAGCGTTGCAATAGTGATTCCGGCTTCGTTTCTCGCCATTTTTTGTGTCATTGGTGATTTTCAGAAGGATTCTGTCTTTTTGAAACGTCTTCAAAATAACAGGTAGATATTTTCTCTCTAGCTACATTGTTGTTTATTGTTTTTGTTTAATTTTGATTGTATGAGTTTTTCTTTTTCTATTTTCGACACGTTATATAAAATCGACTCTCATTAATTTCTAGTACTTAACTTTCCGAATATATGACATCACTTATATGTTGTTGGTTCTTGTTTGTTTGACAAACATAATATTTGGTTTACAGAGAGTTAGCTGCAAATTTTATGGGGTAAGTAAATTACCTCTGGTGTTGTTTTGCCAACCGTTTCCGTTTGCTTTTCTATATAAGGGAAAGTGATAACTAGTTGGTGTGGTACAAAGGTGTGGCAATCGTATTTACTAGGGAACGTGTTTAAGTTTGTCTTAGCTGTGTTATTTCTAATTTAAGCTTCAATAAATATCGTATACGTGTTTATTCGTTTGTAAGATTTTGATTTCAAAAACTAATTAACAATTTTTTTCTATACAACCAGAATAAAACTTGAGTTAGATAAGTATAGCCAGATAATGAATTAAAATGCAATGCATTTTAAACTTTCAGCGGTACTCAGGTGTAAGTGTTGAAACCAAAGAGGATAATCTAAATTGATTGAAATAAATGTCAAAGTCTAGATGGGGAGGTGTACTAAACCCAAGAATCAATCCCATAATATTCAAAGTTTGGATTTTTTAAAAGAGCGTTAAAGCACTTTTAACTATTCTGAAACTTATTGAATAAAAATGAATGTTGTGATAAGTATGCATTTTAAAGCAACAAATCAAAGATGTTACCATGAATAGTAAAATCTCGTTATTACATTATAGCTATACTGAGAGGAAAAAGAAACGCAATTAGGAATTTCCAGGTCAACTACGGGAAATAGAAAAGGGTTTTAGAATGTAATTATGGTGTAACTGGCAGATAGTTGACCACTCTGTCATCTACGAGAATTTTATTCGTGTACGTTAAGTAAACCTTTCAAATTTGACGTTGATTCAAGAGTACCCTACTCAAATTGAAGTGCGTTCTGGACCCATCAATATCGTGTGTGCCCCCCGCGAGCTACAGTAACTGCATGAACTCTTTTGTGCATTGAATTGATCGCGGTATTAACCCTCCTCATTGGTATATGATTCCATTCCTCATCCAGCGCCAACGCCAACTGAGCGACGTTGATTGGAGGATTCGGCCTACGTCTTATCCTTCTGTTCCACTCGCCCCATAAATGTTCTATTGGGGAGAGGTCAGGGCTGTATGGGGGCCAGTCTAGGGTGGGGACATTGTTTGCTGCGAGATAACCACGGCAAACCCTCGCTACATGCGGCCGGGCTTTGTCCTGCTCAAACGTCAATTGACGCTGCTGTACTAGAGGAACAACATGCGGCGCTAAGACTTGATCTCTATAGCGGACGGCCGTGAGATTTCCCTGAATAACGACCAGAGGAGTCTTGATACCATGCGCAATCCCTCCCCATGCCATGACCGATCCTCCTCCAAAGCAGTCATTCTCTATCACGCAAGCATCTGCATAGCGCTCGTGGGTAAGTCTATAGGCACGACGTCGGCTGTCTGCCCGGTAAAGCGAAAACCTGGACTCATTTGAGATTAGGACCCTTCTCCAGCGTTGCATTGGGAAGCGTCTTGCGGAATGTGCGTTCAGCCATTGCATTCGTCTGGCACGTCACCGTGCATTAAGCTGTGGTCCAACATATGGCCGCCGCGGTCTTAGACCGAAGGCACGCAGTCGAGTACGCACTGTCTTTCGATCAATTGGAACACGATGACGCCCAATTGTGTTCCTTGCTGTTTCCGTGGCCATCTGAAAGCGATTGCGTAGGTGCGAAAGTCGCATTGCCCTTCCCTGCCGACACTTTGTTACACGAGGGCGACCGCTTCGGGGAAGATCTGCAACCCTTCCGGTGGCATGTAGCCTTTGGATGAGATGGCAAATGTTCGATGGATGGACTCCAAATTGATTAGCGACCTGATTTTGCGGGGTACCTTGCATAAGAAGTGCAATCGCACGACCCCTGTCAATTTCAGACAGTCGTGGCATTACGGTGAACTGTTTATGCTTAAAATGTGGGAAATTAAGACGGATATGTCTGAAGATTCACACACTCAGATTTTGAACCAATCCTTTATACTGGGTTCGAGATATCGTGCTTTTGTCATTATTCTTTTGTACGAGCGGCGTGCGCGGTTTAGTTATGCATCAGCGATTTTAATGCGGTACCATAGGGACCTAACTCAAATGCACACACTGTCAAGTTTCAAGGGTGTACGTCAAGGATTTTATTTACAATATTAATTTTCTGCTAATTGCGTTTCTTTTTCCTCTCAGTATACTTTGATAAAATATTCAAAAATAAAAGAAATCAATCCAAGTATTCCAACCATATTCTTTATTTTTCTCTCTCTTTTTATTAAATTATATTACATTGGATATTTTATTCTATTTTTAAAACGTATTTTGGGGCTTTTATCATTTTTGTCCTGAGAGCAATTTAGTCGTGTATATGCATGTGTATGTATGAATGTTTTTCTGTAAACGTTTCTGTATCACATCAAGTACTTAAGTTACGATAGTGCCTTGTAATGTCAGTTTACCAGTCGTTTGTTGTAGTACCCGCGATATATACCTTTTACATCAGAATGTACCTTTTTGTGTGTTCTTTTACACTGGAGTAATAACAATTGATTACTTACATGATGACCATGCACGTCCTTGAGCTCATGCCAGTGATACCCGTCATGTGTTAGAACATCACCAGAGGGCACATAACACTCACCATGGTTCAACGTAGCCACAATGGAATGAGACAGTCCAGCTATTGAATGAACAGAAACACTTTTTTATGAAAACATATGATAAACGATTGGGATTTATGACATAGAAATGGTACATGAATATGTTGAATATCGAATCTGTTGTGACAATTAAACACCATGAATTTGGGATGCAGGAAAATTGTTATACAGAATTGATGAATTCACAATAGGGAAATCAAAATATTCTTGCTTATCATACAGTCTGGTGTGGAAAGTTGTCTGTTAATTTCGTTGATGGAAAAAATCGAGATAAGTTGATTTTCAATTCTTATATACGATGGAAGTGGTCAGTTAACGATTTGCAAGGTCTTTGCGACTTTTTTTTAAACGTGACTGTATATCCGCTTCATTTGTAGAGTGGTATATTTTTCTCCAAAATACGGACACTAATCGACAGTTTAGAATGATCAGGAGGTTGAAATGTTGACACAAACATTGCATCTCTCCACGGTCCACTGCTGAATGATGGCCATCCATACGTCATCTCAACTGTCCACTTACTTTGGACCACGCAAATCATATTCAGTTGGACGTCATTCGTATGGACTAAACAAGCAAGCTGACCGTCGGTCAAAATTTTCTGTGTTAATATGGATTTTCCATCAACTAGGATGTGAACTGACTGTTCTTGTCAAGATTAGTAGCATGTGAAACATTAAACGGAATAATAAGTCAAAATTGTATGCCGATGTGACTTTATTTGACGTTTGAATATTGTCCATTGTGCTCACTGACCACAACTCCGGCCATTTTCCTTTGTTCGCCTATTCGTCATTCACCTGCCTTTGTGATATACATATTTGTATACACCAAATATATATATTACTAATAATGTTAATTTTGTTACTAATACATCTGTGCTACCCCCATCATGTAGTGATCACTCCCCAATTACTGCTGACTTAAACTTCGAGTCTTTTAAGAAACTTGCTTATAAAAAAACCCTTTTATATTTCCAAAATACTAATTTTGACGGAGCAAATGAATTTCTTAGTTCTATTGACTGGAATCTTCAATTAGTAGGTGATATTGATGAAATGAATTATATTCTATGTAACAAAATTTTAGCTGCTATTGACCAATTTGTACCAAACAAGACTGTAACTATATAACCTAATGACAAAATATGGATGACTAATGAAATTAGACTGAAACTAAGACAGAGAAACCGTCAGCATTCTAAAGCTAAACAACAGAATTCCCAAGCCTCCTGGATTAAATTTAAAACTATTCGAAACCAGGTAATTACCTTAATCCTGCTATCCTTTATAATGAGTCTAGATTAATACCATTAGCTAAACGAAGACACCTACATCAAAATATCCATATTTTTTTAGATATTTTAAATAACAGATGCCCTCCTCATGTAACTGATTCTATCCAGCCTTTTATCAACAATAACACTGTTCATTATCCTCTTCGACACAATAGGTTGTTTGATGTGCCCCTTGCAAGAACTTGTCAATATAGCACTAGTTTCTTTCCAAAACTCATGACTGAATGGAATGACCCATCCTGTCTGTTTCCCTCATTGACATCCATTTATGCAATAAAAAAAAAACATTTTTATCACAGCCTGTTATCAATCCTCTTTTACAATGCACTGATACTTTTAAATATTACGGTAACAGAAAGGCAAACATAATCAACTAAGAAACTCTGCAAGTAATCCCCACCTTAAAGACAACCCTGCCTGTACTTGTGGCCACCCAGTTGAAGATCCTACTCACTTCTTTAATCCATTGTCCGTTCTTTACTATCCAAACACAACTCCTCCTTAATTCTCTTTCTACTCTTAGTGATTCTATACCTCTTACCACTGATACATTTCTTAAAGGATCTCATACACTTGATGCAAATATAAATAAATCTATTCTTGATTTGGTTCAGAGATTCATAACTGATACCGGTCGCCTGTTTTAGCCTTAGTATACTTATATATACATTTTTTTTTCTATTTTTAATTTGAATCTGTTATCTTAAGATTGGTCCGCCTGTAAATTTTTACGGACTCGGTTCAGGATTGTGGGTATATGGACTGTTTGAACCTGCAGCCTGTGCTGTGTGATCAATTGACAAATTTTGACTCCATCTTGTTATATATAATTATGTTACCTATCTAATCCTACTATTCTTTAACACTATAATTTAAATGATGGTAATGCTTGCCTAACATTTCTGTTAGATAATTATTCATCTGAATCTATATCCAAAATTCTTATTCCTGGAATGCTATCATTATTATTTAATATCTTAAATTTTGATTGATGTGTCTGTGTACTTGTTTAAGTTGTATGGAGAGGGCTTTCATAGGCTCTGCCTGTTGCCCAATTCCATTTGTCACCAACTTCGAGACAATAAAATACAAAATGTATTCTAAAATGAACTGAAATCACATTCAGTACTGTAAACTCGTTTGTAGTTTTTACAATTTAGGCTCTGAAAGCCCCTGTATTATATTCCTTTTCAGTAATTAGAATATTGTTTTTCAATAATTTCCATTGCATTTCGGAGTGTTTGATTGCCTAAATAATTTTGCATAGCTATAATTGTAACTGAGAGTCCTAATCTTTTTAGTTCAAAATACTATCAGCACGTATTGTGAAGTCAGTAGCGTCTCTGAGGACAATCCGAAATACTAAGTATTCCAGTGAAATGTCCTGTACCCTTGGGACCAACAAAGGGAGTACTATCTTTATAAATACAGCACAGCAAAAGGTAACAGCACGGTGGTACAAATCAAGTGTCATACCTAGCACGAGGTTGCATGTATCTATGTGTAAATGAATAGCATAGAATTGATTGAATGCATACAAGTAGAGCTGCCGTATGATTTTAAAAAGGAAAGCCTATTGTTATAACCAAAAGCTACATGACTAATTTATATATAAAAGCAAAGGTGTTCTTTATCAACAAGTCTCAATCTGTACAATATGTGTGGACAGGAACAGATATCGGTGCTAATGGATACCAATCTGTTATCGTTTACACATATTGTATAGGTGTGGGCTTTTCTCCATATTTTAATGAATATAGAAGGATGCTATTCACTTATGAGTCGTTTGATCCGACATTGCATTAAAAGTCTAGCAACAGGAAAATTTACTTCATTGAAGTGATAATTCTTCCTATAAATGATTTCTTTCGTAATATGGAATGATTTTATATAAAAAGCTTTACCTCCGGTTCTGGCGTGTACACCGTCGTAATTGAGACAAAGACATGAGCCTGATACACTTGCTGAAAAAGACCCTTGCGGAGTAATCAAACAAATTATCGTCCATAAAACAATTGCTACAAGGTCCATAATGATCTTGTACGCCGGCGATATGACAGCACAAATAGTGACACCACAGCCGAAAATAGAGTCACTGCCTTATCTGACAGTCGAATGCCTTTGTAATCTTACCAAATATATAGTCACCAGCTAACTTTTCAAAATTCTGATTTTAAAAATTTTGTCTCAATGCCCAATGAGATTGTCAAGTTGTGAATGGTTCATGGCTGAATGTTATTTTCTTTTTAGGTTTTTAATTGCAACTTATTGGCCCCGTCCATCGTATATAACTCAACAAAAAAAGAAAGGTTAACATGTTTCCTTGGCGAATACCTGTAAATGAGTGATAACAAAATGACGTTTGTGCAATATTAGAAAATGGTAATGTTTTACATTACAAAATCCAACGGGGTTACCAAAATCATTCAAGCGTGAAAGCCTGTATTAGCGAAAGAGCTGCACGATGTTTTCTGCGACTAACTTGTATCTTCGCTTGAATTTCATAAACATTCAAACTGACAACTGTTCTTTAGATCCTTAGGACTTAGAAATCACCGAATCTTGCTATCTATCAACTTTATCATTATGCCCCGGCTGTCACAAGTACAGAGAGAAAGGGCTGTAGGCATGATCCAGGCTGGGGAGTCTCGCCGTCGAGTTGCACGGCATTTGCCAGTTGGTAAGTCGTTTAAACCAAACTGGGTCAACATCCGATCGTCCCCGAAGCGGCCGACCCCGTAAACGACCGCCAGGGATGACCGTTGTATACGATTGATACACTTGCGCAATCGATTCGTAACCACAGGACATTGTTTGGGCGTCGTGTGTCTCCCCAAACAGTCCGCAACAGGTTGAGGGCCTACCAATTGAAAGCGTGGCGTCCCTACACTGGACCCAATTTGTTGCGACGTCACCGTAATAATAGGCGTAACTGGACCCGTATTCACCGTCGTTGGGCCTTACGACAATGGAACAATGTTCTGTTTTCAGATGAGTCCAGGTTTTGTCTGCAACACGGTGACGGAAGGCGCAGAGTGTGGAGACGACGAGGGGAGCGTTTTGCGAACCGCTGCGTCGCAGAACGGGACCGCTTTGACGGCGGAAGTGTAATGGTTTGGGGTGGTATTTGTGGGGGACTCGTACCAGGCTTGTTGTGTTAAATGGCAATTTAACCGGCATTCGATATCGGGACGAAATTTTAAGACCAGTGGTTCTGCCATTCTTAAGACGCCAGGGCGTTGGCGCCTTTATTCAACAGGATAACGCACCAGCGCACACCAGTCGCGTCAGCAGAACTTTCTGGCAGCAGAATAACGTACAGGTGTTAGATTGGCCATCTAAATCACCTGATTTGTTACCAATTGAACATGTCTGGGACGTTCTTGGGCGACGCGTGAGAGAACGTCAAAATCAGCCGTCAAACTTGCAGGAGCTGGCCCAAGCCTTGATCGCTGAATGGAACAACATCTCTCCTCGAATTATTCGCCGGTTTACGAGTTCCATGCGACGACGCTGCAATGCTGTTTACTTCGCAAACGGTGGCCATACCCGTTACTAATGGTGTTACCTTTGAAATTGACCCCAAAGTCCTTTTCAGTCGAATAAAATCAACTGAACGCAAAGTTTTATAATGAACCATGACTGCAGTTTTATCAGAATTGATCAATTACTTTATTCGTACATGATTGGTAAGGAGATATGAAGGGGTTAATTAATTAATCACAGTATAAAGTAGTGTTACCTTTCTTTTTTTGTTTAGTATATATCCACCAGAATTGGAAGTCATAGACACAACAAACTCTTCTACATCATCTGCTTATCTCGATCTTTTCCTACATCGAAACCAACCTATGGTGTTTACATGTCACAGTTGATTCGATATTCAAGTGTCTGATTCCATTATCACGATTTCCGTGCAAGAAGTCATGAACACATGGTTTCAAAACATGCAGGTTGATGAAAAGTGAAGAGAAGTTTTATGGTAGCTATAGTTATCTCATTCCATTAGTTGTTTGCCTGTTGGTTCTGTTGTTGTTTACTTTGTTCTTATTTGAGAACGTGACATTATTTACATGGATTGAATCATGGTGGGTGTCATCGATGAAGTAGAAGGTTACTCTTCTTCTCCTTGTACTTTTTCTAGAGTCTGGTAATCTTTCTTTTCTTCATGTTTGTCCTAGTTTTATGGATTTGAGAGTGAATTGTGATTATTGACATGTAAGTATTTTATGTTTCAAAACTTCCCAATATGTTATATTTTAAAATTTGCTTTGAATTGTTTTCTAACGATACAAAATTACACTGTTAAGTTCTTTGCATCACTGACGAAGAAGGCAAAGCTACATGACGTAGTTTAATTCATCATTTTACATTTTAATTCCTGTTGTAACTGACCAGTGAAATACTAAAAGAACAATTGTATGAAGTAGAATTAGGCTTCTAGCATGACTGTAGAATCATCGAAGGACGATAAAGCTATATGATTAATTCACTATTTGGTTACATAAACTAAAATAATATTAGAGGTGTATTTCACAATTGCGTCTTCTGTGCCATCATGTCGTATAGAAATATATACAAACATTTGTAATATTCTCTGTAAGATATAATCCACTAGTTCATCGTTTAGACCGTCTTTTTGATTTGGGATGTGTCATTTACTGGTGTGAATTTATACCGTCTTTTTGATTTGGGATGTGTCATTTACTGGTGTGACTTTATACCGTCTTTTTGATACTGGTGTGACTTAATACCGGGATGTGTCATTTACTGGTGTGACCGTCTATTTTATATGGGATGTTTATACCGTCTTTTTGATTTGGGATGTGTCATTTACTGGTGTGACTTTATACCGTCTTTTTTATTTGGGATGTGTCATTTACTGGTGTGAATTTAGACCGTCTATTTTATATGGGATGTGTCAATTACTGGTGTGACTTAATACCGTCTTTTTGATTCGGGATGTGTCATTTACTGGTGTGACTTAATACCGTATTTTTGATTTGGGATGTGTCATTTACTGGTGTGACTTAATACCGTCTTTTTTATTTGGGATGTGTCATTTACTGGTGTGACTTTATACCGTCTTTTTGATTAGGGATGTGTCATTTACTGGTGTGAATTTATACCGTCTTTTTTCATTTGGGATGTGTCATTTACTGGTGTGACTTTATACCGTCTTTTTAATTTTGAATGTGTCATTTACTGGTGTGACTTTATACCGTCTTTTTGATTTGGGATGTGTCATTTACTGGTGTGACTTTATACCGTCTTTTTAATTTTGGATGTGTCATTTACTGGTGTGACTTTATACCGTCTTTTTAATTTTGGATGTGTCATTTACTGGTGTGACTTTTACCGTCTTTTTTATTCGGGATGTGTCATTTACTGGTGGGAATTTATACCGTCTTTTTGATTTGGGATGTGTCATTTACTGGTGTGACTTTATACCGTCTTTTTGATTCAGGATGTGTCATTTACTGGTGTGACTTTATACCGTCTTTTTTATTTGGGATGTGTCATTTACTGGTGTGACTTTATACCGTCTTTTTAATTTTGGATGTGTCATTTACTGGTGTGACTTTATACCGTCTTTTTAATTTTGGATGTGTCATTTACTGGTGTGACTTTATACCGTCTTTTTAATTTTGGATGTGTCATTTACTGGTGTGACTTTATACCGTCTTTTTAATTTTGGATGTGTCATTTACTGGTGTGAATTTATACCGTCTTTTTTCATTTGGGATGTGTCAATTACTGGTGTGACTTAATACCGTCTTTTTTCTTTAGGATGTGTCATTTACTGGTGTGACTTTAAACCGTCTTTTTGATTTGGGATGCGTCATTCACTGCTGTGTCATTGTAGCATCCTTTTGTTTTGAAAGATGTTATTTTACCTCTTATGTGTCATGCAGTACATCTTCTTGTCTACTCTCACCTGAGAATATGTTTATCACATTTGATAATAATAAAAATAATGGCCTTTCACTTAGAGAAAAAGGCAATTTAAAATTAGAAATGCACCCTCTGATCCCATGGTGAATCTCCTGACAAGACCCTCTATGCGGTCGTCTTCGCCAATTATTTATGATTCCTTTGCTGTGGAGAAGTTTAAGGTAATTTTCAGGTAATCAGATGCGAAAATGGCTAGTGAATGGAAAAGTAGTTAGCATATTTCCTTATGTTTTAGAAGTATTTTCAAGTTAATTCTTAAAACCTGACGTTGATAGAGCATACTTATACAACATACTGTTTTCAGCTGACATTAACGGTTCTGAATAAACCAAATCCGTTCGTAGTGTTCGTGTTGGAGTATTTCTACGCGGTAGAAAATGTTTGAACCATAGATTTAGCAGGACTAGTCGAATATGATAGGGTCCTATAAATTCCATTACAGATACTGAACCTGAACATTGTGATGAGTACCAACATCTGTCTAAACGCAAATTTGGTGCCATTACGCATTTAAACGAGGAATAAAATGATTTGCCTCGAAAACGCTACTATATCAAGTTTCATGAAGTCTTACGTTTTCAAGTTCTCAAAACCAATTGTGTACATGTTCTTTTGCAAGAGATTAAAAACAAGATGACCCCAATCTCATTATGTGTGGTTACTGATATAACAAGTAGAATGTGTTTATTCATAACTGTCATTCTTAAGGATAACTCCCTCAAGGCATTGAACTTCTTATGAGTCCTTTTCCACACAGACAAGGTAGCAGACCGAAGGATGGCACATTTATCGAACAGTTTTATAGTACATATTATACGATATTTTCACCGAAAAACACACTTGATATTTAACATGTGAGTGACAATGTCATCATAACATCTAGATATTTATTTTTTTAAACATAGTGTCTAACAAAATTTCTACGCTGTACCACTGTCCCGCTTCTAACTACTACACCAGAAGAGGGCTATTTCAAATTCGTTTATGTAGGACAGGAATATTTCACCAAATAAGTGGGTTTTTTTTTGTTTTGTTTGTTTTTTTTTTGTTTCACACTATATTTGACATTACACACTTTTATTTAGTGTCCTTACGTTGTTTAGTGCATGGTTTTTGATCAAATACACGAGGGTCTGTCATTCTAAGAGCCATTTATTGGTCAATCGTTCGTAGGTTTGCCTTTTACGCCATCGTTTTCATTATATTATCGGACTTACATTTTCCCACAGGGGCACATACTTAACAGTTAAGCTTGCAGCTAACGCCAAATACACTGTTTCGTTCATGTTACAAAAGTCTTCATAGTGGCGGTACAGCCACGAGATATCTCTCTGGAGATTTTGGGTAGGTTTTTACCTTGCCTGAATGTTCTGATTTTGTTGACGTGACGATAGCAAATGACTGTTGACACAAATCAATGTAAACAAAGTCGACGTTACTGTAAGAGTTGTCTCCCATGAACGCAGATTAATCCGCGCACGTGGAAACCTATGCAAGATTAGAATTACATAGCCATCTCACATTTACAAACTCTATCCAACATGGCGGGATGTGATAGAAAACTTTATTTCCTGCATTTGTCGTCCCACTGATTGCTAAAATATTGAAGAATCGTGTCCTAAATGCAACATTGTGCTAGTCTGTCTCCAAAAAGATTTTACTCTAACATGACTTTAAAATGTATCCGCAATCAGACACTTCCAGACAAAGCCGAATAAAGTTCTCTGGGTTACTGGGACAGGAGTTAAGCTGTCATATACTGATCTTAAACCGACCATTTTTGTTGTTGTCAAAATTGATTGGCTGCAAAAGTGGTATACATAAACTACTAAAAAATATATTCAGTTAATTCTAATATAGGAACCCACCTTCAAAAAAGAATGGACACTAGACTGGGGTTTGTCCCATTTTTTGCCACAAGCAGGGCACAACTTTCCCAGCCCTTCATTTTTTTTCCATGAGATGACGACCCACTTAATTCTATGCCTGTGATTCCTTGCTCGAAGACATTTTAATAAATTATGTATTATCTACATTAGAGGGACATATATCTTTAACAGAATATGAACGATGCTCATTTGTTATTGCTTTTATTATCAAGTACATGTCATTAATATCTTACTATTCTAAGATGACGGGTGCAATATTCGTTTTACAGCATAATGTTTTATTTTAATACTTTTCTATTTCCGCCTCATGTTGTTTCTTTCTGTATATATCCTATTAACACACTCAGTTAAATTTAAGAAATATTTAAACCACACACATACTCATGTATGTAAATGAAATAAACATTGCCTGATAGATTAGCTTTAAACAATTAAACAACTTAAAGCTTAACTCTGAAGCATATTATAGATTGTATTTTAATATGTAATAGTTATTTCGGTTGTTTAAGTAAATTATTTCCGTAATTTAAGAATTAATGGGAATTAGATAAGGATAAAGAAAGAGTTTTTTGGACTTCAGAAATATTAAGATGTATTTAGCTATCGGCAGAACATCCCAACTTTTCCACATCACTCCAGTAGCGAAGAGTGTTGCTATGTTTACATCCTCGTGGTCCGCCATTATGGATCCGAGCATAACTCTCACAGTTATGGGCACATCCGGAATATCTTATATATCGTGTCATGTACTTCTGGACACACGTTGATGAACAGTTCAGGTCAGCAGCGCAGCCAGCAAGAGCTACAAGTAGAGAGGAATTGATAGATATCATTCAAACAGGTCTTCATGTCCACGTTTTACTAGTGAATATATGTGTAGAACAGATGCATAATGAATTATTTTGGCTGTTGATTTTTCTTGTAGTCATATGTCAACAAACTGTTGAAGATTGTACAGAAGACACAATAACACCTTTTATTATAGATTAAGAGTTTGCAACCAAACAATGGATTAAACTGTATCATACAGCTGTTTCATCTTTCTAGGTGTCGTCAGTGATACAAGAAAAATCATAATGTAGATGGGAAGGTTCGCTAGCTCTAAACTGCAATGAATTTCGTAATTTTCATAAATTTCTTTTCATAATTTTAGAACAATTGCAGGTACATTCTTAACCATGCTGCTATTAGAATAAATTGATATATCCAGTGATATCGATCCACGGAATCAGGTTTCTATGAAATAGGTAAAAAAAAAACCACACTCACACGAAAATGTAGCCCCATACGAAAATGAATGAAAATGTAATTTATGGCATGTCAAGGTTATGCTAAGTTAGTTTATGATAAGACGCATGCTAACACATGAAACTATTGTGAGTTGTAACCTACATCAGAATCGTGCCTCTTTTGTTGAAGTCATTCGACTCGAGCAAACTAAAGACGACAGTCTGTACTGCATACAACTGAATGTCACACATGTATTGGTTTACGTTTCACTCACCAGTCAACACCTATATCGTTTTACGTATTTTACGCAATCCTTGACCAGTCCATTTCTATGTCGTTTTGATGTAATCGATAATCAATATCATTTGATATAAGCTTTCCACACTGATATCGTTTTATTGACCAATATATATGCATCATTGTGTATGCTGACAACATGTACTTTTTGTTTTACAAACAAATGATTCGTTATTTGTATTATTTTAGAAAATTTTATTGAAAGTTTATTGAAAACCAATTACACTTAACATGTATTCGTGCGGATGTGTAAGACGTATTGTCTTGTCCACATGTGTCCAATTTGTAACCTCTACGTCACTGTCACATTAGTGTAATTTCACTTGTATTGCATTGCATGTTTTGTATTGACACACTTGCCACAAGGACTAAACTAATTATATAATACAAGTCGGCTGCAAGCGACAGATATATATAAAGAAACTATACATGTACTGATGTGGGCTGTAAGACGCAATGTATCTTTTAACCTGTATGATTGATAATGATCTTTCGTTAAATCCCTTTTGATAAATACGCAACTGCAGTTGTTTGTCGGAGTAAAACTATATGTATATATATGTTTTATATTTACATATATTAATCTCTTCAAAAACAGTACGTAAACTTTAAGAATTTATTTTGTGTTAAAAAAATAAAGTTGCGGTAGAAAAAAATCGTCAGTAAATGACTTTGTTATATAAATAACTTATTTCATGGCAGGTACTTCTCTGGAATCTATCGTATAACTTACATCCCCCTGGTTTCCCACAGTCCTGCCAGTAGACGTCCTTGAGCTGGAAATAGCCGCATGAGTCCGAGTTCTCATCCCAAGCACATCCTAGAGGTCTGCACCCAGACTCGTGCTGTAACATTTACTAAAACGCTTATATACAGTTACACAAACAATATCGGTAAATTATAGACTCGTGCTTAAGTTAAACCAAAGTAAATTCAAGATCTGTAATTCAATTTTCAATTTTTAACCATATAATTTCGTCTATGTCACCTTCACGATTTCAACTTCGCTGGATTCTAGCAAGACACATGAGTCCTGGTGGAACAATACAGTCGTTACACTGCTTAACTGAAAGGTCTGAGTGAGTGAGTATGACTTTTGTGTTTTATCCATCTTGATGTAAAATTTTTCAGAAAATAAAATAAAAAATAACCCCAGTAGGACCGTTAGAAAACAACCTACCTACTTCCCGATGCGCTACATTTACATGGCTTAGATGGGAGTATTCCCACCAAATTTGTCTGTCCAAACTGACCACAGGAGAGATATTTTAATGCCAACACCAATATCCCTTTAAATACATATCAAATATCTTCTTACCTGACAAATACAATCCAGACAATGTTGTGATACTAGGCCTAAAAATAGAAGAAAAGCATCATAGGGTAGCTATAGAAGGCGTTATACATGTATTTGTAGGGTAACTATTGAATACATAAGGCGCTATAGGTGTAGGGCAATTATTAGATACATAGGGCGCTATAGGTGTAGGATAATTATTGAATACATAGGGCGCTATAGGTATAGGGTAATTATTGAATACATAAGGCGCTATAGGGTAGGGTAATAATTGAATACATAAGGCGATAAAGGTGTAGGGTAACTATTGAATACATAAGGCGCTATAGGTGTAGGGTAAACATTGACTGCACCAGGCGCTATAGGTGTTGGGTAATTATTGAATACATAGGGCGCTTTATATGTAGGGTAACTTTTGAATGAATAAAGCCATCAAATTGGACAGTTGTTTCGGAAAACATCGAAATCTTGAAATGGTTCTTAAACACGTCTCTTTTGGAACATTAACGAAATAAAAGTGTTGATTCAAAATATACTTCACTCAAACCTGACCTGTAGCGTACGTTTCTCGTGTAGTTCTTCCAGTACTATTACCGCTACAGTAGGACGAGGGAAATACCCTGAGGTAGGTCCCAGCAACCCAAACATTCTGTGGAAACCAAAAGTGATATTGTTCATCACAAAGAAGATAGATAACTGCATGATAAGTACAGTAATCATTAGACACTATGAATGACAAAATAATTCGAAGTATCAAATAGTAGCTTCAGAAAGCTTGATAATTGTAAGAAAATATATAGTAAATTTAAGACCTCACCGTAAAGACATTAGTATTACTCTCAACTGATGTCCAAACCAAATTCAATGTATCTGCAGACATATTATTGAAGTATGGGAAAGTGCACCTGTCTATATATATATTTTATATTTATTTCAACTCATTGGATTTCCATAAGTAACTTCTCAGCTCTCAATATTTTTCATCCCAAGCGTTAATGACGGATCCAATAAGGATAAAACAGTGGTATAGTACCATTGTTTGGCTTTGTTGTATCTTATTGTTAGATTGGAACTGAGCTGTGTTGTTCAGCTGGGTATCGTTAACATAGAATACTCTCAAATGCATACTCACGTAATGGCCGTGCACGTTATCGAGTTCGTACCAGTGGTACCCATCCTTTGTCAGGATTTTACCATTGAAGTTGTAGCATTCGTCAGAGTTCAAAGTAGCCACAATGGAGTGACTAAGGCCAGCTGTGAAGCAGAGCAGATTTTAGCCTACACGCGCAATTCTGAGAAACGATAGTTTATATGAGGTAATGTAAAGAGTAACCACAACACTGAAAATGTTTGCTTAGGAAAACATACTTTGGTGTCAAACATATAAATCTAGAAGGAAATCTGATGAGAAAATAATGAAGAATCAGAAACGAGTCTATCGTTATTTAATGTACAGCGTGTGCTGATTTGTTTGTCCACTGCAATGGTAGTATGCTTCTGTAGGAAACACAATGAACAATCTTATATGGGAAAGGGAATACAATTTACAATTTTATACTGTTACCTCCTGTTCTTGCGTGGACATCGTTGGCTTTAAGACAAACACAGTCAATATGGCCAGAAATACTTGATGAGGCCACCCCAGCAAGGGTCAAACAACTTAGTAAGGTTAACCACATTTCTATTTCTTATCCGTTTGACCAAGTTTATCTGAAATTTGAGTTGCGCTTATATAGAACAGAATGACTTTACTGTATGATAAGGCACGTTAATATATTATCTTGTAGATATGATTGTGCATGTAACCATGACCTGTTAAAAAGTTTACATATTTTATCGATCATATATGGGATAAAGGCATTTGAGTGATTGTGACAATAAGAGAAATAATGCCGATACTTAAATGTAAATACAACCTAAAGGCAATCGTTGATACTTGCAAAACAAAGTTCGAAACTGTGAAAAAACAAGTTAATTTGACACGGAATGGAGATGATAGTCTTGTCGATCTGATGTGTATATAACAAATCTAAACATATATAGTGGTCTAGTCAATGTGATGAGTATAAAACATTATCATTATCACAAGTATTTTTGTTATTTGAAAATGACCATACAACATGTATACCCTCTGTATTTGAGAAGAAAGTAGACACTGAACGCGATATTTGGTATAACTTTCATCACGATGATTCCTTTGATTTGTTCCTTGTTCCAGCGATAGGGTAGATGTAATTGACTTCATAATCGTGAATCATCGCAAATATTGCAAGTCTCTACACCCTTGATGCTATTCATTTGTTCTTCTGAAACCACGAGATATAAACATTAAAGGAATATCAATAAAGTTTGAACATGTTTTGCATTTGCATTATTCGTTTCCATAAGTATGTTTAAAAGTATGCACGGGCCAATTTATATTGTATTATGTGTGTATATTGTATGGTGTCATTTTGCAATACTGCAGGCGTATTCATGTTGACGAAATACACGATATTTTGATGTTTTACCATTCCATGTTAAGTCTCTATATCAGGAAGCATTGCATCTTTGATATTTCCCCGTTTATACGAACAAATATCAAACAGAGGCTGAGTTAAACTTCAGACTTTATTGTGAACTTTTGACAGTCCAGAAATAATTAGCTATTTGCTGAACATCCCAGGGCTTCAATAGCTCTCCAATAGCCAAGAGTGTAGCTATGTTTACATCCAGTAGGTCCGCCATTGTGGATCCGTGCATAGCTTTCACAGTTATGAGCACATCCGGAATGACTTATATACCGGGACATATAATTCTGGACACACTCTGAGGAGCATTGCAAATCAGCGGCGCAGGCAGCAAGAGCTACAAATTAAAATGGTTCAAATATTTTTTACAATTCACAGATACACAACACAATTTGATCAAACGCAAACGTGTCAGAAGTATTCTACATTGATCATCCGAAATATGGCTTGAGCAAAAATGAAATAGTGAAGTATGATGCAATGGACAAACACATTGATACGTTAACATTTTAGTGTTTATAGTCTGATAAATGTAATTTGTGTTCGTAGATTCAGAAATACAGTATTCAAATTAATAACCAAGAAACTTTAAAAGGAGAAGAAGTCATATACATTTTTGAAAAGGTGCGAATTTTTACGAAAGAGGTAAATTATGTCAGATCAGGTTAATGAAATCATTACTAAATCAGCAAGAACAATTCAAGCAAGAATCTCATGAATGCTGCTGTATTCGGACATAAATTAATTCGTCTGATGACGTTATTAAGCTGACACATTTAAGTGCCAAGTATTAAACTCAATTATTTAAAAAAAAAAAAAAAAAAAACCTACAGCCTCCGGGCCGTCCACAGTCCTGCCAGTATATATCCTTCAGTTGGAAATATCCACATGAGTTAGAGTTGACATCCCAAGCACATCCTAAAGGTCTGCATCCAGACTCGTGCTAAAACGTTTATTGATATTGCTATACTCAGTTATCAATATCGGTTAATGTGACAATGTTAATTCTTTACTCATGGTGAAAAAGATTTAAGACCATTAAACACCTGAAGGTGAGTGATTTTTCCATCCCTACCCTGCTACATGTTACATCAATGCAGCATCATGATATTACCTTCAAATGTTTAATATTTGTGACATTCTTAACATGACGACATTGAATTTTAAACGTAACTTCATTAGTTGTTTTTGTGAAAATCCACTGTTAAAAGGGAACCCTCGCCTCCATCCTAGACTGAAAAAGGAGATGCTCATATCAGAAAAAGGATGAATACAACTTGATTTTTTCTTTTTGTTTTTGTTTTGTTTTTTGTTTTTCGGAACGCACAGAACTAGACATTAAAGGTATGTTTCTATGTCACACAGAGATAAACATTGAAGGTAGGTAACAATGTCACATGGAACTAGACCGCAAAGGAATGTGATCATATCACACATATTTAGACAATGAAGGAATGTTACCATACCACACAGATTTAGACAATGAAAGAATTTTACCATACCACACAGATTTACACATTAAAGGAATGATCTACACATTACAGCTTAAGGCCATGTGACCAATGCTTTTGAACCTCGTACTTGTAATGAATCTCCCAACCTTTATGGTATTTTTAATGTCTTGGTTATCTGTTAAATGAATGATTGGTTAATAACTACTTACCTTACAGATGCAGTTAAGACAATGCTGTGATACAACTCCTGCAAATACCAAATTATAGCATTTCATTATCATCACCAATACGCGGTATGGTACGTTCTTATTGAATATTTGCTATTTAGCATCATTTCTGATAGCCAATATGTTGTATCCGTGATGATCATACTTTTACAATGCATTGTGTCACTCAAAAGCAAAAATCAAGAAAATACCGACATTTCATCATCAATACCATAATCAAAATTCAAATTCCATAAAACTAGAACAAAATATGAAATATTATACGGATACTCCTGAAAAAGTACGAGGACGACCAGGTGTTCCGGAAGTGTAAGCATCGCCTGCTTCATCGACACCTGCCATGTAAACCTTGGTCATTGCAATGAAATAATGTCACGTTCTCTACTGAGAACAAAGAATACAACAACATAACCAACAGGCAAAATAAAGAGCATCAAACACAACCAGCTTTATATCAAACATATAATTTTTCTTAATGAGTTCACTATGGTGACCATAAACCTTCCCCATTTTAAGGTTTTTCTATGACAGATATGAAGTACTCAAAACCTGACCTGAAGAGAAGGTACCATGCGATGATCCTCCAGTGCTACCAGAACTACCACTACAGTGTGAAGACGATGAAGTTCTTAGAAAATTCCCTGCAACCCATGCCCTCTGTTGGAAAGAATGTATTATGTGTAAACACACATCGATTGGGATAACCATCGAAGATAATGCAGCTTAAGAACTATTTGAAGTTAAGATAATGATTTTTTGGCTGACAGTCTGTTTTCAAGCTGTTTCCATTATGATAAAGTTAAAATGATGAAACCCGGGTCCCATATTCAAATCAAGAAAAAACATATATATAGATAGATACTGAGACCTTGTCTTTCGTACTTACATGATGACCGTGCACGTTCTGGAGTTCGTACCAATGATACCCATCATGTGTCAGGATTCCACCATTGAACTTGTAACACTCGCCAGAGTTCAAAGAGGCAACTACTGAGTGACTAAGGCCAGCTGTGTGGAATAATAAAAAAAAAACGATTTATAAGTCAGGAAGTTATCTATTAGTAACTGATAAATTGAGAGGATGGAGGGAGTGGGTTGGGGGGGGGGGTTGAATCGAAAAGTAAAATCCAGGTTGCATGTAAATGGACATTATTCAATTGAAGATTTTTTTGATGATAAGGGATACTTATATGTATTTTCAGCAAAATGTTTTGATACATAGAAAAACAAAACCCGAATGGATGTACGTTAATAAAGGAAGTAAAGAAACGAGAAAATCACCTCCCGATCTAGCATTTACACCACTCGTTGTGAGACAAACACAGGTTCCTGAGTCAATGTGGCCAGATATACTTGCTGCGGCAGCCCCAGCCAGAATCAAACAACAGAGCAAGGTCGACCACATTTTTGTTTCTGAATGATTCCTGAAATAAGGTGTTCTATACAATTGTGCAAGGAGACTTTGCCTCGAGATAAGGCAGATGTTATTCTGACATTCCCTATCTTTAAGATATGCCGGAAATATCGTGACGGATGTCATGAATTACACAGATTTTTATCAGTTTTTATCAAGCGAACATTCATACAATAGAGGGTTGTCCTGATGTTACCTACCTTAGAAGCTGACAAAGAATGAATAGAAAAATGGTCCACAATAAGTTTTATGATTTCCAGTATAAATTTACTAATTGACTAGCAATGTTGAATGAAACAATACTTATACATCATATGGACAGGATTCGTGATTTAAGTCCTTCTTCCTTAACTTACACACCTATTTGGGACCAGTGTGCCTTTAAGGGAGCATAGGACAACATAAGCAAACTCAATTCGAAACTTGCTTACACCGCTAAGTGGCGAATTTTAAAAAAAGGTTTCTAATGGAGCATTACAGTTTGCCATTTTAATCCTACCCCGTAAGGGATTTTATGTATTAGGAACTAAAATGTTATTTAAGAAGAAAAGGACAAACTATCAGCTTGAATATAAATGAGTTACTGTGTAGAGAAAAGAGTCGTTATACTGTAAATAAGGAAGAAAGACGTTAAAGTGTTGAAAGAAAGATGGACGTTATACTGTGTAGACGGACGAAAGACGTAATACTGTAAATAGGGAAAGTACATTATACTGTGTAGAGAGAATGAAGACTTTATACTGTGTAGAGGAAAGATAGACGTTTTAATGTGTAGACGGATCTTGTATATAGGGGAGAAGATGTTATGCTGTGAAGAGGGAAGAAATACGTTTGCAGAAGGAAGAGAGACGCCTGTGTTCGTTAGTTCACTACTTGCACGAAAATTGTGATGATAGGCAGGCCCTTAAATATCTCATCAAAGACAAGACATCATTGAAAATGAAATTAAACGATTTTGCAAGGTCCCTCCGACCTTTTTTTGACATCTTTGATAAATTCAGCCTAGTATAAAAACAAAACACAATTCAGCCAACGGAGGGGAACAGTTAGATTTGATAGTGCTAGGAATGGTAGTTAATACTTTTGACAAACATTTAGAGCTATTCAAAATCCACATACTATTAATTCCACTTCTTTAGTAAACAATATCACAAGAAGACTGTAACCCTGATTTGATAGTACTTAGAATGGTTGTAATTAGTTAAGATCAAGGCTTGGTTTAACAATTAGACGAGCCAGCTTGTTGTTAATGTAGCTTCCTGATCATTAAAGGCGATCTAAATGATTGTAATATCGAAGCATGATAAGACAATATTTCTTCTCTGGAAAGATTGCATCATGTATAGGTGGGAATTCCTTCATTGTCCAGCAAGACCAATTATGGCAACTGTCAGCTTTTAAATGATGTAAATTTCTTCATAGACATATAATATTTGCCTGGTGTAATTGTATCATCTGACAGGGACATTACGCACTTTTCTATCCTTGAAATAGATATATTTTATTCATTAAATATGTTTTCGTTTTAACCACGTCAAGTTTTAAATAAAATTACTATTTTGAAACATAACTGTCTATTAGTATACCTGCCTTATATTGTACTTTCTGTATCCAGATTAGAACAATAGAGGGACGATCAGTCTTCACTTAAGCTGTCTTGACTGTCCAATAAGTTGGTCAGGTGAAGATAACATACAGGACAGTTACATGAAACATGCTCGGTTTAAGAACATAAATAGCAATGGATGACGTCACAACCATGTTTTAACATTTCATATTACTTTTTCCTTTATTGATCAATTTCCTCTGAATGCGCTTTTTTCCAAACCTCAACTAAATATCCTAGAGCATGTAATGAAAATATTTCCCGAAACAGTTGCATGATGCAGTTAATGTCATTATTTTACTTCATTTTTAACATTTTTTTTTTCATTTTAATATGAGAATAACAAAATTTGTGTTAAATTTAGAATAATCATTTCATTGTTTAATGAATGCCAATCAAACTTCTCTTTAGAAAATTCTTTTTCTTCACTGTATCCTTTTTTCATTTCACCAACAGACTGTATGGTATTTCCTCTTTTCAAAGAAAGATAGTTCTAGATGTGATAGCATAATTTCCTGATAATTTGCTCAATTTTCTCTTAACATAATCAAAAAAGGCACACTTTTGACTTTGGGATCTACTTGACTAAACAACTTTAATTTTAGTCCAAACAATTATCCTGGTTTCCTGATACATTTATCTGTGTGTAGTTGGTATCGTCCCAAACTCTGACTAGCTGCCACGTTAGCACCATAAGGTAACGTCCTAAATATAAAAGAACAACTATCTACAAGATTCCAAGACAAGTTTACTGCAATGTAACATATATACTAGTTTTAAAACCGGAAAATACTTTTTGTTTATTTTTAGCAGCTTTGTTCAGTACACTAATCAAACATTTACAAGGATGTACAAGAGATACTTAACACTGAGCTATATGGTATGTAGGAACATGCTAGTGTTGTCATTTTATCCTTCCGGCATGTTATTCAAACTTTATTTCTGGAGCATGAGGAACTAAAGCTAATATAACTATAATTTGTCACAACTATTTATTATGTACTGGTAGGGTTTCAAACCGATACGTTGTATCTTTTTTTCTTCTATATTACTAATTTAAAGAGAGGACAATTTGACAAAATATGAAGGATTGATAAAGGGGTGATAAAAACGAAGGTAGAATATGTGTCAAGTTAAATCTCACAAATGTCACATATGAAGATTCTTAGCTTACTAGACTAAAGCTCTGGATGGTTTCCCTAGCCAAGTAACCACTATCAATGAATATATTTTAGAAATTTCAAATAACGTATTTTGAATCCCTTTCTTCCAAACATTTGATTTTGATTCGTGATTCTCCGTTTTAACACTCCATATATAATGTAAGGTCCTTTCACGTCAAATGCTGTCAATCCTATCTCAAAATGACTGACTCCCTTCTTTTAAAAATATTCCATATCCTTTCAAACGAAAATCATTGTCGTTTAAATGTTTTGATATTTGATGGACGGAAGTGACAAAGAAGACAGATTTGGCTAAACTAGGTCACAATATGCACAAAAGAAAAATGTATACGAAGACTCGTGAAAAAGTACAAGAATAAGACCAAGAGCAACGGAAATGTACACGTCGTCTGTATCATCGACGACACCCGCTATGTAAATCCTAGTCAATCCAAGGAAGTAATGTCACGTTCCCAAAAGGGGAAATAGTATATCAGGGAACAATAAGCACTTCACCATAATCTTCATCAACCAGCATCAATAAAGCACTGTACTATGGTGGACCATTTGCATTATTTTCCGACATAATCCTCTTCGGTGTCTATACACTTTTGCCAGCGATGTTTAAAGGCCTCAATGCCGCTTATAACGACGGAGTTTTCTTGAACATTCAGAAAATCCTATTTTTTTCAATTTCGAAAATAGATAAAATCTGATGGAGCGAGATCAGACGAATAAGGCGGATGTTCATTTAATTAAAGCCACCATCATTATTGAAACAACACACATTTACTGAAATTTCAGCGGCGCTTGAGTTTGGTATTTTTTTAACTGCCTAAGAAGTGGTGCATCCACAAACCCCTCCAGAAAGTCAGCAAGGTCTGCCTCTGAAAGGTTCATATTAGCATGTCACAAAGTCCGCTGGGTGTGCTTCTGATCAACTGTCAGAGGTCTTGGTACCCAACGGACTGAGAGGTTTCTCATTGCAAGATCTTCCGTAAGAATGGAATGTACTCTTCCTACGAAATTTCCAAAACAATATCATGGACTTTATTGACCATTTCTGGGGTTGCGACAGTGACCGGCCTTCCAGGACGGGCGTCATCCCCAAGGCTCTGCCTGCCAAGCTTGAATTTCGCCACCCATATTTTCACGCTAGTATATGAAGGGACAATATTCCTTTGTGTCGCTACAATATTAGTATGGTTATTATCAGGTGTTACCCTTTCTTATGCAAATATTGAATCACAGCTCTTTCAGCGATTTTGTCCATTTTGCAAATGTCACTTGCCTTGTTTAATTTAGAGTGCTACCTTTTCGACATAAACTGACCAAATGACACCAGTCTTCGGGTACACCTTAAATAGGTAGGGAATAGTAGAGGTAAAAAATGACATCTCTGCTTAACTCACTCAAGCTCACAACTTATATCGTAAAATATGAGCAAGAAAAAGGTGAAACAAGAAAACAAAAGTATCCGCATCCCTGTAAGCAGTTTTGATATGTTAATCAAAATTGCCCAATCCTTTCGTTTCTTTATACATTTTGTAGGTAAAAAATCAAATTCAGGGTCTCTTGGTTATTTGAAAGTGATCGGTAAATATGTAATGGTCCTTTAAAAAATCCACACAGCTTGTGATTATTTTTACCGTCATTTCAAACTACAATGTCTTCGCTATATCCTTATTTTTAGACTAAAAACAAGAAAAAAATACTGAGGTGTTTACAAAATTTTCATTCAAGTCAAAAATCGACCAAATGAGGGTATGTTTACGGGAGACTATTGAAAAAAGGAGAAAAAGACCACGTGGTCCTAAAGGGTCAGATATTGCTGTTTTATCAACGATATCAATTCTGGTCAAAAGGTGAACAGGGTAAAAACAACGGAACCATCCAGTATACTATTAGACTATTCATATCACCATATCCCCGAATGGGTTATAGGAGACAAACAAACCTTCACCTCTGTATCCCTTTATCTCTTGAAATCCCTTTATAATGAGGTCAGTTGTCAATATCTTACACTGAAATCGTAATATTTAGAAGAAAAAAAGTAAAATTGAAATAGTGATACATGTGGCCAAAATGTATGGCTATTAAAAATTTAACTTGAAAGATTCTCCTAGGTGATATGGCCCATTCTTGCGATTTAAATCAGGTAGAGAATGGGATTTAGGAATAACAAATATCTCAAAATCACTGGTACGTCTGAAAATCTGGGGTCAATATGTTTAGGACTTTATTGCCTTGATGTCTTGTCTAACAGATTGAATTGATGTCTTGCCTAACTAACAAAAATGTTTTGTCTAACATACTGAAATGGTGTCTTGTCTGATACTCTGAAACAATGCTTTGTATGACACACAAATATGATGTCTTGCCTTACAGACCGAAATGACATCTTGTCTTATACACGAAAATGATGTTTGTCTAATAAACAGAAATGATGCTCTGTCTTACACACGGAATTGATGTTTGTCTGATACTCGGAAATGATGTCTTGTCTAACATACTGAAATGGTTTCTTGCCTAACAAACAAAAATGATATCTTATTAAATGAACTGAAATGACGTCCTTTCTAATACACAGAAATGAAGAGTTATCTAGCACATTGAAATGATTTCTTGTCTGACACACTGAAACGATATCTTGTCTAAATCACTAATATGATGTCCTGTCTGATGCTCTGAATGATGCCTTGTCTAACACACGAATTTTTGTATCTCAAATAATGTTTTGTCTGACACGCTTAAATGATGTTCTGTTTAACATACGAAAATAATGTCTTGTATAACGCACTAAAATGATGTCTTAAACATGCTGAAATGTTGTCTTGTCTTAAACACTGAAATGATGTCTTGTCTTAAACACTGAAATGATGTCTTGTCTTAAACACTGAAATGATGTCTTGTCTTAAACATGTTGAAATGATGTCTTGTCTTAAACACTGAAATGATGTCTTGTCTTAAACATGCTGAAATGATGTCTTGTCTTAAACACTGAAATGATGTCTTGTCTTAAACACTGAAATGATGTCTTGTCTTAAACACTGAAATGATGTCTTGTCTTAAACACTGAAATGATGTCTCGTCTTAAACACTGAAATGATGTCTCGTCTTAAACACTGAAATGATGTCTTGTCTTAAACACTGAAATGATGTCTTGTCTTAAACACTGAAATGATGTCTTGTCTTAAACACTGAAATGATGTCTTGTCTTAAACACTGAAATGATGTCTCGTCTTAAACACTGAAATGATGTCTTGTCTTAAACACTGAAATGATGTCTTGTCTAACATGCTGAAATGTTGTCTTGTCTAACATGCTGAAATAATGTCTTGTCTTAATCATGTTGTAATAATGTCTTGTCTTAAACACTTAAATGATGTCTTGTCTTAAACATGTTGAAATTATGTCTTGTCTTCAACATGCTGAAATGATTTCTTGTCTTAAACATGCTGAAATGAGTCTTAAAAATGCTGAAATGATTTCTTGTCTTAAACATGCTGAAATGATGTCTTGTCTTAAACACTGAAATGATGTCTTGTCTAACATGCTGAAATGTTGTCTTGTCTAACATGCTGAAATAATGTCTTGTCTTAATCATGTTGAAATGATGTCTTGTCTTAAACACTGAAATGATGTCTTGTCTTAAACATGTTGAAATGATGTCTTGTCTTAAACATGCTGAAATGATTTCTTGTCTTAAACATGCTGAAATGATGTCTTGTCTTAAACATGCTGAAATGATGTCTTGTCTTAAACATACTCAAATGATTTCTTGTCTTAAACATGATGTCTTGTCTTAAACACTGAAATGATTTCTTGTCTTACATGCTGAAATGTTGTCTTGTCTAACATGCTGAAATAATGTCTTGTCTTAATCATGTTGAAATGATGTCTTGTCTTAAACACTGAAATGATGTCTTGTCTTAAACATGCTGAAATGATGTCTTGTCTTAAACATGCTGAAATGATGTCTTGTCTTAAACATACTCAAAGGATTTCTTGTCTTAAACATGATGTCTTGTCTTAAACACTGAAATGATTTCTTGTCTTACATGCTGAAATGTTGTCTTGTCTAACATGCTGAAATGTTGTCTTGTTAAACATGCTGAAATAATGTCTTGTCTTAATCATGTTGAAATGATGTCTTGTCTTAAACATGTTGAAATGATGTCTTGTCTTAAACATGCTGAAATGATTTCTTGTCTTAAACATGCTGAAATGATGTCTTGTCTTAAACATACTCAAATGATTTCTTGTCTTAAACATGCTGAAATGATGTCTTGTCTTAAACATGCTGAAATGATGTCTTGTCTTAAACATACTCAAATGATTTCTTGTCTTAAACATGATGTCTTGTCTTAAACACTGAAATGATTTCTTGTCTTACATGCTGAAATGTTGTCTTGTCTAACATGCTGAAATGTTGTCTTGTCTAACATGCTGAAATAATGTCTTGTCTTAATCATGTTGAAATGATGTCTTGTCTTAAACATGTTGAAATGATGTCTTCTCTTAAACATGCTGAAATGATTTCTTGTCTTAAACATGCTGAAATGATGTCTTGTCTTAAACATACTCAAATGATTTCTTGTCTTAAACATGCTGAAATGATGTCTTGTCTTAAACATACTCAAATGATTTCTTGTCTTAAACATGATGTCTTGTCTTAAACACTGAAATGATTTCTTGTCTTACATGCTGAAATGTTGTCTTTTCTAACATGCTGAAATGATGTCTTGTCTTAATCATGTTGAAATGATGTCTTGTCTTAAACATGCTGAAATGATTTCTTGTCTTAAACATGCTGAAATGATGTCTTGTCTTAAACATACTCAAATGATTTCTTGTCTTAAACATGATGTCTTGTCTTAAACACTGAAATGATGTCTTGTCTAACATGCTGAAATGTTGTCTTGTCTTACATGCTGAAATGATTTCTTGTCTTAATCATGTTGAAATGATTTCTTGTCTTAAACATGCTGAAATGATGTCTTGTCTTACATGCTGAAATGATGTCTTGTCTAACATGCTGAAATGATGTCTTGTCTAACATGCTGAAATGATGTCTTATGCCCTTCATTCATAGGGAACTAAAATATTCCCAACAAAATGGAACGAACCAAATAACGTTGGTTGTCTGACGAGTGTGATTTCTTCTAAGCACACTTTTTTTCGAAAACTGTTCGGTTACTTTGCGAATAATTATTTGCAGCATGTTTAAATCAAAGAAGGCCAAAAGCAGTCAGATGATTCGCGTCTATGATAATGTTCACCTGGTTGTGGTGTGTCAGTCTTTATGTAACATTAGTAAGAATTCTCTTTAATTTAGGCCGAGTTACCGGGATACCCTCAGTCGAAATCTTAAGATCTAATACCTTGCTAAGAGTAAATAATTCACGAATGCAGGAGTGAATAGGATTTTGTTGAGGCAATGATAATGATAACGGAGTTACGTATTAAAGTTCATATGATTATGTAATGATAACAAATTATCGTAGTAATAATATCTCACGAGGTATTATCGTAATAATTATGTCTACACAAACCGTGAATTAGGACGGACTAGACACTACACTGTTACCTTTCGTAACTCTGGAGTAAAACAATCGACACATCCCAGACCAGATATAATGTGTACGGTAAGAATAATGTTTTGCAGCATGATAAGTGTAAAGGTTTGCGTTTATTTTCTCCCAAGAATTTATGAAAGTAAAAAGTTAATGTCCACACAATGTGTCACGTATCATTTCCTTACACAAAAATTAGTAGCATCATATGAAAGATATTAAAAATGTCTATTATAATCGGTTCTTTCTTTATTGTTAGTATGTTGGAGTATATAATAGCATTGTACATATCGATCCTAAAAAATGACCCTGCAACAATGGTCACCGTGTACGTGTCCTAAAAAATGACCCTGCAACAATGGTCACCGTGTACGTGTCCTAAAAAATGACCCTGCAACAATAATCACCGTGTACGTGACTTTGTTTATATCTTTAGTGTTTATATTTACGTGATCTCAATGTAAGATGTTAAGACATGAAGATGTGGTGTGAAATTATATTTTGTTCTTGAAATTATTTTGTTGTCATGGCATTGTCGAAAGCACACGAGAGGCACCCCGTTCTGGGGTTTTCAAATGTGCATTGATGTATATTTACTACAGGAAACTACATACCTCAATATAAGTACATAAAAAAGTGCGGATTTTTTAATACTTCATTGCAGTTCTTGATATAGTTGTTACAGACTTTGAAGATGCCGTTTATACCAGCACGTTTTCCACGATACAACGGTTATGTTCTGTCAGCATTCGCCACTCTAAGGAATGACTTATCAGGACAACTCGAGAACATCAGAACTTTGGAATCACGAGATTCCGATATTTTGATCTGTACTTATCCAAAATCGGGTAAGGTCAAGTCTTCCAAATTTTCTTGATATACATATATAATACAAATTTCTTTATAAGATGACAACTCGTTAGTGATTCCTGGGGCTAAACGTATTGAGGTCAGTGATGAGAGCATCCTCGATATTCCAGGGATTACTGTCACTTTCTCTCTTTGCATCCCTGGAACATTGGCAAAATTGACGCCACAAGCGAAGTTATTTGATTGGCTCAAGGTAAAAAAAACTGACAAATCACGGCTGATAAGCTTCTTTTGAAGATTACAAGGAGCGACAGCCATCTTCAAAGCCATTGCAGCTTTGCAACCTCGAGATTCGTTAAATGTACATCAAAGAACCAAACTAGTCATTTCGTCTTGTCCACAACGGTGTCGCACATGGAAACTTCAATTTTGCCATGACATGTTCCCAGGGTACAGAGAGCGAAAATGATTGTAACCCCTGGAGTATCGAGAATCTGATGAGAGGTGCGGAAACAGTGATGATCTGAAAGGTTAGTCAGGGATATTTGAATAAGTCAAAGATATTTTTTAAATGTAGATCAGTAGGTGTACTCAACCCATAGTCGGATGAAAATCATTTAAGGATTTTAATGTCAGAACGCGTAGCTCAAGTATTTATGTCCGCGTGTAAAGTTCATCACCAGGGAAACCATAATGATTGTACGAGAGACACAGCTGATCAATCATTTTTTATTCAGTGCTAAGTATTTGCCTCATCGAACATGTAATTGTGTATCATCAGATTAAATACATGTCAGAAAAAAATGGTTTATAAGTTTATATTTAGCAAGTAACTAATTGTCTCATCCTATGTATTGTCGCTCTAATCCCAATTGCTTATAGCTTAATCAGAGATGACCAGCGGTATGAACAAGTTAGATTGTTGCACTGTAAAAGACAAACAGTTTTACAGACAAACTAGCACTCAGAACATGTCATCTGACCTGCCTCAGCAAATCTGCACCTGTCGAACGGTGACGGATGTTTTGTTTTATTGAAATTAGTACAAACTGACGGTCGCTCAATGAATTTACAACAATTTATTTGATGTTTTCAAAACATCAAGAATACCAAACCAATTTATAAGTCTGTTTTTAATTTTCTGAGATGAAATGGATTTATATAATGCATACGATCGCATTTATCGAAAAGAAGCATTATATTTGGAATTACTGTTAACAATGATAATACAGATTAACACCATATATGGTGTCTTATATTCTTGGATGTACTTACAGGAACACATTGGATCAATGAAATTATCAGTATGATGGTAAAGGGTCGCGCCGAGTACGCCAATGTGCACAAAATAGCTGCAATGCTGGAAGCCATTCCTAATTTTGAAGTCCTTCAAAATGTCCCAGAAAGTTCGGTCCGAATCCTGAACTCTCATCTTTCCTTGAAGGAACTGCCATCGAAACATATAAAAAATGGTTACAAGATTGTTCATGTGATTCGTAACCCAAAGGATGTTGCTGTTTCTTATTACAATCATTTGTTTCAAATTTCGCGTAGAATATCAGACGAGGAAGCATTGGTATACCCGGGGAGTTGGTCCATGTTTATAGAACACTTCTGCCGGAGTGATGAAGGTTAGTACCAACAACGGCTAACGTCGAGTACTGCTGCTTATTTAAATTAATGATCTATTATTCAGTATTGTTCGATGCATGTATTAACACATGTTGGAATGGCGAGTTATGTTTTATATAGCTTATCCAGCTATAGAGAACGACTTTTTAATTACTCCTGTTGGTTCGTTTTCACTTTTAAGGACAAAATGCATGTACTTATTCGACCGTAGTTTCCATGGCAACTGAACAAGATTTAACTTCCTGAAAATCCGATTTATCTGTTTTTAGTGACCTTTTTCCTTTCGTCAGTCTTTCCTAAGCCCATAGTTTGTCGTACATTTGATTTTAGTTCAAATGAATGCTTTGCTAATGATTGGTCGGTTATGAAGCATATGTAAAGGACAAGTAATAATTAGTATGTGGTACGAGAGCGGTTAATATGGTAGTATATTGCACGAGCACGCAGCACAATTATTAATATGCTGAAAATGCTATTCAGTGTGTTACGTTTCATTTTTTTTTTTTTTTTTTTTTTTTTGTAAATTTGCTTTTTTGATTGGTCGATTTTACAAGATGTTATTTATTCTCTGTTTTTATTGGTGGAATTCTTCAAAGGTGTTATTTTTGCTAGTGAAATATTAGTTAAGTTTCCATTGCGGTGAAAATGCATACAGGAATAAAGAAATAGTTATAACTGGTACTTGTAAGTTGTTTGTAACTATCATATCTCCATGTAGACTTGTGATAATGATCCTAAGTCAGTAACACATGTCCGCTTACAGGGGTAAATTTTAATCAATTTTAGATTTAAATGTATCACTGATGCTGGGTTAAAACTTCCAAGGCATTAATAATAGTAAGTACATGTACCACATGTCAGTTGTACAATCATGTTGTTACCAGTTAGAATATGAATGAAACTTTAATGGAAATATATTCCTAAATGGCATAATGTCACGTACCTACCCCTGTTTCACTGCAGCAACAACTGTAACACCCATTTTATTCGGACCACACGTGTATCTAGCGGAGATAGGCTTCACAGATTACCTGATGAAGGTCCCGATGATTGTGACGTGATATTTTACTGGCTATTAAGGTTATGTTATAAACATAATCTTTCAAACAATTACAGAAAAGAATTATGAAATCTATAACGAACTTTCCATGTAACCTTTGGAGAGGTTTACAGAGATAAATCCAGAACTCGTTCAACGATTCTAATACCCTTGTACGTTCAGCATTTATACCTACCTGACCTGGACTCTACTCTGTCAGCCGCTTTCTGTAGGGATAGCTTGTTACCAATCAGTATGATTAGCGTGAGGATTTCAATTTCCCTATCATAAATGCAATATCCCTGCATTCCAATCTATGTTGTTGTCATGTTGCAGTTGCAATATAATATCTTTTGTGGAAGATGTCAGCAGCGCAGATAAACTCATAACACAGGGTTTCAGAAGATGCAGTTGATGAAAATTCTCAGTTATACATTTGACATTTCTGATTTGGATAGAAGGTGTCATCGACAAAGCGTACGACGCTTTCTATTCCGGAACATCTGGTCTTATTTTCCTTGTACTTTTTTCGGGATTCTCCGTGTATAGATATATTTTGTTCATATTTTGCCCTATTGAATTCGAGTTTAGATTATAATTTTGTTGACAAGTTGGTATTTTCTTTCTTGATTTTGAAGATTAATTAAGAAATAAGCAAAAAGAAACCATTCGTATGGTTGAAGTCAACAAAGTACTTCCCGTTTCAGAACTCTACAATGGTTGGTTCAACTACGAAACAGCATTGGAAAGGGCAAAAGAGACCGGTGAAGTAACAAATATCTTTACTACTCATTATGAGCAACTGAAAAGGGTATGTTATATTGAAAACAAGAGCAAAAACAGAATAGCACGGGAATAAGAGCGGAAAGGGAGTGTGATATTTATCAGTTGTAGGCTATGGATGGCAGTGTGATATTCATCAGTTATAGGCTATGGATGGCAGTGTGATATTCATCAGTTGTAGGCTATGGATGGCAGTGTGATATTCATCAGTTGTAGGCTATGGATGGCAGTGTGATATTCATCAGTTGTAGGCTATGGATGGCAGTGTGATATTCATCAGTTGTAGGCTATGGATGGCAGTGTGATATTCATCAGTTGTAGGCTATGGATGGCAGTGTGATATTCATCAGTTGTAGGCTATGGATGGCAGTGTGATATTCATCAGTTGTAGGCTATGGATGGCAGTGTGATATTCATCAGTTGTAGGCTATGGATGGCAGTGTGATATTCATCAGTTGTAGGCTATGGATGGCATTGTGATATTCATCAGTTGTAGGCTATGGATGGATGGCAGTGTGATATTCATCAGTTGTAGGCTATGGATGGATGGCAGTGTGATATTCATTAGTTGTAGGCTATGGATGGCAGTGTGATATTCATCAGTTGTAGGCTATGGATGGCAGTGTGATATTCATCAGTTGTAGGCTATGGATGGCAGTGTGATATTCATCAGTTGTAGGCTATGGATGGCAGTGTGATATTCATCAGTTGTAGGCTATGGATGGCAGTGTGATATGTATCAGTTATAAGCTATGGATGTCAGTGTGATATTTACCAGATGTAACCTATGGGTAAGATTGTGATTTTTTTATCTGAGATAAACTTTGGATGATGGAGTTATATTAATCAGAGACGAATTATGGATAGAAGTGACATATCTACTAGATATAACTTATGGGTCGAAGTGTGAGATTTATCAAACATAAACTCTGAGATAAGTGTGATGATTAGAGACACTATAGGACTTTAATTTTTTCTGTCCTGTTTGCAGAGTAACCAGCAATACCATGTAAGATAAACTATGATAAAATACAAGTAGAACATCCCATAACTGCAGTATACACGTCTCTGTATTGTTGCATGATCTTTTGTTTTACAGAGCCTGTTATGATATTCATACACTGATATGTTCTCTTATATTTGAAAACAAGAATCCTATTTTCCCTATATATATTTTTTCCTATTCTATAGGATCCCTTCCCCGTCCTAAAAGCCTTGGCCGAGTTCCTCGGCGTGGAGGCCTCAGACGAACTGCTGAATGATATTAATCATAAATGTTCGTTTGAGCAAATGTCAACAGTTGGCGACATAGGACGTGGAAATGATTCTTTAAAGTCGGCCACAGGGAGAAACATCATGTTTCGGAAAGGTTTGTGCTAACATATATGGTTTCTTTTCATTTAATGGATTTTTAAAAAGTTTCTCTGCGACATGACAGATGTTGGCAGGTAATACCGGGAATGAATTACAACTGAATAACATTCTTAATTTTGATGATACTGGTTCAAGGTGAATGATGAATGTATGACGAGAATCGTTCTCGCTTCAATTTCTAATTAGTCATCTTTTTAAAAGTTTTTATTGTCACAAACACGGTAATGAATGGTCAACATACCTACAATATAAGTCCTCTCCTAAACAGTGTTTTAATCTCATCATCGTACAGAAAAACGAAACAGAGTCATTTTCAGTAAACAGCCATGTGTGTATGTCAGATTGTACCTCTTATTAATACCACAAAACTAATATTCAAATTTAAGAATGACCTTTTTTGTATTCATAAGATTATTTATATTTCAGGTCAAATAGGTGACTGGAAAAACTGGTTTACAGTTGCACAGAATGAAGCTTTTGACAGTCTTATAGAAACAAATATGAAAGACTCAAAATTAAAATTCACATTTGAATGAAAAGTGGAAAATTGTTAAAATAAGACTTGCAGTAGAAGTAGAAAGGGTATGAAGAAAGGAAATGTACATGACACGATGAAATCTTTTCCCAAAATGCAAACCACGTTGCTGTTTTGATCAACATCGCCAAAACTAACAGTGGCCATACCACGCATATTTTATCTTTCCTAATCGAAATGTTTGTATAAAGATTTCCTTTACTGTTTCGTTATGCACTAAGGCAGAAACGTTGCTGATCACTCGGAGACAAACACTGATTCTGTTAAAAAACGATTTATGTGTTGTAGATACGAACACGATAAGATGTTTTATCCAGAAATAGCACAACCTTGAGTTCGTTATCTATGTTGTTATATGTGAGAACTATACCACAAGCAGCTGGGAGGTTAAGATAAGAACAAAAGGTGGACATACACAACGACATTAGAACAGAACATAGATTATAAGACTTCGTGTACTGGGCGAGTAAGCATTTATACTTTCATCGACGATAAAGAATTTTCTGTAAAATTGAACGACAGACAAAAATGCATCGTCCGTGATGTAGAGGAGGTAGGATCAAGGAGAAAAGAGATAATCATGCAACAGTAAAACCGTTAGAAACATCTTTTTCAGCAGACATATGAAAATATCTTTTGTACAAACCTGTTCACCACATCGCCATAATGCGTGTATATTGAAATCGTCATAAGTGTAATGTATAATGTCTACTGTCTGACACAGCACCACTGAAATTTAGACAAAATATAATCACAACCGACAACAAACACCAAGTTAAATCAAATAAAAGTAAACAAAATACTACTATTATCACTGCGATATACCACAGACTGATTGAGATCGATTCCTTATTTTGAGCATCTTTTCTCTTGTTTGTCATGTGTACAATCCATTGAGATTGCCGGTGTTACGTAATGTTGGTGGCTTGTGTTCCTCCCCATCTAGGTATTAACGTTCCAAAATGACCATTTCTTATTTAATGGTTATCAATACAGATTTGGAAACAGTTTCAGCATACAGCCATATAATGAATCAAATAGCTTTCGTCCCCCTTGGACTCGTCAGTGGTGATCAGGGCCTTAATTGCTGAAACCTTGCAAGCGACCAATGAATTCAAAATCTGTCGAAAGAAGTGTCAAATATCAGAAGGGATAGTCACGAACCCAAGCCGCATTTTCAAATTCAATATATTTATGGCTTTCAAAATTGCGTACTTCTAAATGAATATAGAAGGATGCTATTCTCTTGTGTGCCTGTTGTATATTGTGCCGTGTTCCGTTTTAGATAACAAAAAAAACATTCGAGATGAGAGCAAAAGAGAAAAGAAATTCATCAAAAACTGTATATAACGAAGTAAAATATGTATTCACTAAGAAGTTCAAAACAACAGCAAGGACACCAACGTTTCTGTCGAGGGAGAAAGCTAACACGTTATAAAGGTTATCACAGCTACAGGACTTTCATAGGTTGTACTGGGAGCGTGATCGTGAATCAGGGTAATCTAGTTTGCACTTTTCTTTTTTGAACGTCTGGGTGTTAGAAAGGTGTTCGGCCGTCTGGTGCATCTGCAACAAACAGATATCACTGGCAAAGACGAACGTCCTAACACACAAGGAGGAAAGAGTTCCAATCTACCTTTCTTCTGCAACTGGCAGCAAAGCCTGCTGGAATCAATACCATAATTATCAAACATGTCCATCTTAAGATGAAACTGGAAGTGTTTGATGTCGTTAGCTTGCCATTTGGTTCCGTTGTTGTTTACTCCGTTCTCATTTGAATGTGATATTATAATTACTTACTTTGATTGGTCAATATTTATATTGGTAGGTATCGTCGATAAAGCAGAAAGCACTTACCCTTCTGGAACACCTGTACTTGCTAATCCATTCTTTTGTTCTTACTTTGTCCTAGTTTCATTGATTTCACATTGAATTAAAATAACATAATGTATGTAAACGTGTCGTTTATATTTATTCTTTGTATTTGTCCTAGTTTAATCGATTTTAACGAAGGTTTCTTTTTCAAGGTTGATATTTTTCAAGAACATGTGCAACTAGGGAATACGGCATGAAAACGGCAAGAAAGGCATGTGACACGGTCGATAGCAGTATCTTATCAATTAAGACGTTTCATCAATGAAAAGAGCTTATTGGTATACAACAAATATGTCTGTTTACATATATCAAGTTTCCTTCACTAATCAACACAGGCCCAATCCAAAAGGAAGTAAGACTGTGAAAAAAGACACACCCGTAATTAGCACCTCCTGATGCAATTCGGAATAAGATTCAGCAGTCAGTTTTTAAACTGTATCATACAGCTTTAGAACTCGTCAGTGATGATAAGACTTAAGGGATAAATGAAGGAGTTAGAAGAATGTTAATAAAAATGAGAGTTCCTTTTACATCATCATTTATCTTATTTTATTGATTTTAATGATTTGGGGAAAAGAAGAGAAAGATTGTATTAAATTAGTGCGCAATAAGACGACAGTGGTGCACGTTGATCTTGTGGGAGATTGTTATGAAATAGATTGCTGAATGTGTACGAACTAAATTGTGATCAGTACCTTTAAAGTCGAGGGCCAAATTCGGGGCGATAACACTGCGACTAGCACGTAGACACAAAATTTAAAGGAGTGTATCGGTATCGTTTCCAAGTCCTAACGTTGTTCATACAAATAAGAGATGGTGTGTTTTATCTATTTGGACATATTTTAAACGACTGTTTTTGTATATCATGACGTATTCTAACCAATCAGAATGCCGAACGATGTCCTTAACCCAGAAGACGGACGAAGAGATTATACACAGAAAATCAGATGTGCTTTTGTTCTGATTGGTCAATTGTTCGTCCATTGTGTGTCTTTAGTACAATCTTCGAGAAAACAGATGGTAGACACTGCTGGTGGACTTTTAGTCCTTGGGGAGTTTGCACAGACCTACATGCCGCATTTTAATTCATTCGAATAGTGTCACGGGCCCTTAGCATCCCTGACTAGTCCTAGAGAGACGAAACAGCTGAATGATGAAGTTCAGTTCAGCGTTTGGCTCTACCGTATCTAACTTTAAAGTGTGTAATAAAAGGTGTTATTAAATTCTGGGTCTTTTGTACAATCTTCTATATTTTTTGACGGGTTATTGTTAACATACGTATCAACACATCAATCATTTTTACTAAATCTGTTTGAAACAGGCTCGAAATTATCACTTAATTTCATTTTTAACCGATTACCATATCATGAGATTAAAACTCCGCGCTTTGTTCCTGTTGAGTCATGTTTAATCGCTTCGAATAAATGCCCTATACCTCTCCTTCTAAGCGTAGGTATGATGCAAGGAGGCATGCCTGTAAGGTAATCAATTTGTCTGTACGACAAGTTAAAGGTACTCGGTGCTCGCGTTCTCGATATTAAACCGGTGTGATCATCGGCACTCTGGTGTGACGTAACGGCCATCTGTACCGCGGTGAGGACGTCTTTTCCGTGCAAGGTAAAATTAATGTCTAATTTTTATACTAAATAATTTCCAAGGCTGTTAACGATCAGAACTTTTTATTTCTATTTGCATCGTAAACACAAAAAGCCACAACGATCGAGTAACCGGAATTAGCTTTTCGTTAAGTTATCGAATTGTTTAATAGAGTGTGGTAAAATTATGAAATTGAAACCTTAATAACGAATTCAAATGAGTTTAGGATGATCATTTGTAAAATAAAAAAATATGAAGCACTCTCCATTACCAAGCCCTGAATAGTCTTATCCGTAAGTCTAAATACTGGAAGTTTTCGGTATAGCCGCCCTACATCCTATATACTGACCTCACACTGTGATAAGAGTTGTGTACTTCATCGTTATCGTTAACCAACACAAAACCATTTATTGTACATTCAGTTTTTAATTAATTAAAATATCTTATTGTATCTGAAATTCAAGTCACCGCCATTTTAAACGGTAAATTATTTTGAACTAGAAGGTAAGGTAAGACATGACATAGGGAATCGTACACGTGTGTTTACTTTCTTTACTGACCTAAATCTTCACCTTTCTATCTAGATTAAAGCCGATCAATAGGGGATTTCGTACACATAAATGATATCTAACGGTTCCCCGATTCATATCACACATGTTTTGCGGGTATGGATGAAAATAAATACCATTTATTACGTTCACGTGCTAACTAAGGGTATAGTTTCCTACGACTACAATATATGTGTACGCTATTCAAGGGAAAGCAAGTATTTTATATATTCGTTACATTTCTATGGAAAATGATAGCAGCGAGTCGATCCGAGCACAACAGACATCTCCAGTTCTACTCGTAGATGTACTACGTACACGAACACGAACGTGTACTATACACTTTACTGGGGTGGTATCAGGAAAAAGACAGATATAACATCTTACATATCTGCATCTCTTCAACTTTGTCGATCGATCATCTAAATTCTGACCTTGTAAAAAGTCTTGTTGGGCAAATGTGTTCTTCAAAGTTTTCGTTAATCGATTAATGCTTTTGTTCAGATGCTAATCTACACATTTCCATATAAGGACATTCGACCCTTCGTAATACACAAGTTTTAGTTCCTGTTTTGTTATTATGTCACTTCCGCCTCGTGTTTCGGGCATTTGACACAGGAGTGTATAGCTCGTGCTGGCTCTTAAACAGCTGATATTACCTGTATACATACATGGCTTAGCATATGTGTCATGTTAAACTTGCTACATCTACGACATATAGTAATAAACAAGAATTGACTCATTTGTGGATGACGATATAAACTCCGGAACAGTTTCATGTGTAGACTTTAAAACGTAGATGAAAGGTATTTCTCTGAAGTTTTGTCTGAAATTTTTATTTTTGTTGTAAATGACTATATGTTAAGTGAGAATACAAGAAAGCTTATGCTGAAATCTTTCCGTTAGATAAAAATATAATCATATTGTATGAATATTTTTCTCGTCTTTTTTTTTAATTCTAAAAGCAAAAATTGATTTCTTTTTTTTATATTATTATAATTGTTTTATTTTCAATTATTTTCCACTAAAAATACTTTATAGACTTAATTTTTTTCGTAGACATAATAATTTTGCCAAAAAGAAAGCGATCAATCGAAAGGCTGAAATCTTCAGAAAATCGTCTACATTTAGTTGCATTTTCACTATATGAAAATTAAAAGTTAATTGTGACCGGGTTAAGCCACTTCCATTCACCTTTGTATAAGATAAGAACACAGCGTTTTATCTATTGAATATTTTAATCACTGTCGCTACTACTCCTAGCAACGCCTGATGCTGTGAACAGATTTAGGATTTTTTGAGTGATGAACCTGTTGTGTTTTTCCTGGTTCTCCCTGACGAGAGATAACAGCGGCGATATTTCAGGATTTTTTTTCCTTTTTGTTTGGGTTGTCTTACGCTTCTCATGTTTGAATGACTTTGAACAATAAAAATACCGGGTACATGTATGCTATATAAAACAGTACGTGTTCGGATATAGATGACTTATTCATCTAAGTGAATCATAATATCACGTGATTATCCCTCGTACGTTCATACGTGTGAAATTGAAAGCAAGCGGTCTACACACATCTGCTATTGGAAATCACGAATTAATCGATATCTATTAATTATAGTATAGCATGGCTTTTCTACGTATATCTGTATGTTATAAATACTACATATAATGAACAGACAGGTACATCAGTGTAATATGATATACAAAGTACATACTTTTCTCCATATTCAATAATATACAGGTGCGCGAGTTGACCCAAGCTAAGTACGGAAACACCATAGAGTCATCACAAAAAACATCATCACAAAAAATCTTTCGATGACGTAATATTACGGTATTCTTAGCCCATCATCATGAAATGACGCCTTTTGTCCATGGTCCGCTCGTCCAAATCTTGCCCAAATATTTTATTTTATTCCAAATATTGGTCCAGGAGAACAGCTTCCGATTCAAGACGAATGTGTAATACATGGAGATAAGATTTGTTCATATCATTATCCTCTTTTAACACCATATATTAGACCAGACATAAACCGGAAACCAGTTCACCTTCAGCAATCTTCAAGGAAATTCAACAGATTACTTAGTATGTTCACAGTAAATGTTGAACACGTAATCAGAGAACTTAAATTATACAGAACAAGAGGTATGTTTTGACGCAATTCATGCTATGAGATTCGTCAGACATAAGACATTTGTACTGCATAAGACAGACAGACAGACAGACAGACAGACAGACAGACAGACAGACTCTTTACTTCCTCTGTATAGGGATTTCAAAATAACACTAAACAATAGACACGAAATTTACAAGGTCCAACTTGAAAATCGATCAGAACAGTCAAATTATGTCTGGTCACCTTCAATTCAAAGCCTTGAGTTCATGTCAGAGAACAGCAAATCAACTCCCTCTGCAACAACCAGCATCAAACTCTCCCTCTCGTCATCAGCCACCTTGACGCCCGCACGACTTCCCAACAGAAAATCCGTTTGGTGGATATCCTCAAGAAATCAAAAGTTTAGTCTCTGACATTTACATGATTTACCACCTTATCACGAAAAACATCGCATGATGCGAACAATATCAATTGCAGTTTTCTCACGAAGTCTAAATGTGACCTGTTCAACTTAATTTATCACTGATAATAACATAAGACCTGCTAATTTCTAGGTATATTGAGATATTTTAGCACACAGGCTCAGGGTTGGATTAGGACCCAGTGGTACCATTTTTATTCGACTTTAGAAGAGAGATCATGTTTCCATTTATCATAATACCAATACGACACAACATTTTAGATAAAAAAATTTCCATGAATTCTTTAGATATAAAACATCGTCTGTAACTTGCTCATAAAAACTATCTAAATTTTTTTTTTTTTTTTGTTACTTGATAAACGTCCGGGATAAAACCAGAGACGTATGTAACACATTCTGTTTAAGCGTGGCACCATACATAAAGCTACAATGCCTAACGATGAATATCGAGTACCACACACAATACTTTCTCGCTTGCGGAAAGTGCCGGGGGTTCCCGATTGGTAACGCACAAGGTGACGTAGCACATAATCCATCAGGCCCATACACTGCAAAGTTACCGCGGTAGACGATCTTCACGGGCTGCCAGCACATCGCCTGTAACTGTATCTCAAACTCACATTTACTTGGTCAATCACTACGTGTATTGATTTCACAATTCACACCGTATATGATCCTGGCGTAATAACAGACGTGAGTATATTCTTACTCGTTAAGAGATCTAACCCATTGCATACCAACGCCGGTAAGTGAATTGAGTGTCGTTTTTACAGGTCAACTATGCCTTCATCGTCTTTCAGGTTGTAAATGAATCTCGGCCCCCGTGTAGATAGTAGTAGTAGCTGCCCATGTGAATTCTTTCTCACCAAGCTGAACAGTGCGATTGAGTTTCAATCTCTGTCAGCTTAGTGTTTATTGCATAGCCTTACCTTTTCAGGGTTATGCCGCCACTTGCATGAATATCTTTGTACAATGATTATTTTTGAAGATGGCTCATGGAAGTGGCCAGAACCATGGTAACGTCCGCTAGAAGAACACATGGAACATGTACATTTCCTACTTTCATTTCGTTTAACTAAGATCGGTTCATATTTATCATCAGCGATCCAACGTAGTTGTGCCTGTAATGTTTATATGTATGTCGTTCATGTGCTTTCACATCTTAAATGTTTTAATTTGTCACCGTATTTTAAATATTTATTTATAACAATAAATTGTGAAGTTAAATCCTTACTGTTTCACTTCGTTATATTTATCCCGCAACATACAATGTACGCTTGTCCGTGTTTGTAGTACTTTTACGCGTGGAACTGGAGATATCTATCACATAATGTGTTAGTACAAAGGGACGGGAAACATTTTATATATTACACCCTGTGTTAGTACAAAGGGACGGGAAACATTTTATATAACACACTGTGTTAGTACAAAGGGACGGGAAACATTTTATATATTACACACTGTTAGTACAAAGGGACGGGAAACATTTTATATAACACACTGTGTTAGTACAAAGGGACGGGAAACATTTTATATATTACAAACTGTTAGTACAAAGGGACGGGAAACATTTTTTATATTACACCCTGTGTTAGTACAAAGGGACGGGAAACATTTTATATTACACACTGTTAGTACAAAGGGACGGGAAACATTTTTTATATTACACCCTGTGTTAGTACAAAGGGACGGGAAACATTTTATATATTACGTACTGTGTTAGTACAAAGGGACGGGAAACATTTTATATATTACGTACTGTGTTAGTACAAAGGGACGGGAAACATTTTTATATGACACACTGTGTTAGTACAAAGGGACGGGAAACATTTTTTTATATTACACCCTGTGTTCGTACAAAGGGACGGGAAACATTTTATATATTACGTACTGTGTTAGTACAAAGGGACGGGAAACATTTTTTTATATTACACCCTGTGTTCGTACAAAGGGACGGGAAACATTTTATATATTACGTACTGTGTTAGTACAAAGGGACGGGAAACATTTTTTTATATTACACCCTGTGTTCGTACAGAGAGACGGGAAACATTTTATATATTACGTACTGTGTTAGTACAAAGGGACGGGAAACATTTTTTTATATTACACCCTGTGTTCTTACAAAGGGACGGGAAACATTTTATATATTACGTACTGTGTTAGTACAAAGGGACAAGAAACATTTTTTATAACACAATGTGTTCGTACAAAGGGACGGGAAACATTTTATATATTACGTACTGTGTTAGTACAAAGGGACAAGAAACATTTTTTATAACACAATGTGTTAGTACAAAGGGACGGGAAACATTTTATATATTACGTACTGTGTTAGTACAAAGGGACGGGAAACATTTTTTTATATTACACCCTGTGTTCTTACAAAGGGACGGGAAACATTTTATATATTACGTACTGTGTTAGTACAAAGGGACAGGAAACATTTTTTATAACACAATGTGTTAGTACAAAGGGACGGGAAACATTTTTTATATTACGTACTGTGTTAGTACAAAGGGACAAGAAACATTTTTTTATAACACAATGTGTTAGTACAAAGGGACGGGAAACATTTTTTATATTACACCCTGTGTTAGTACAAAGGGACGGGAAACATTTTTTATATTACACCCTGTGTTAGTACAAAGGGACGGGAAACATTTTATATATTACGTACTGTGTTAGTACAAAGGGACAAGAAACATTTTTTATAACACAATGTGTTAGTACAAAGGGACGGGAAACATTTTTTATATTACGTACTGTGTTCTTACAAAGGGACAAGAAACATTTTGTGTTATAACACACATGTGTTAGTACAAAGGGAAACATTTTTTATATTACACCCTGTGTTAGTACGAAACATTTTTTATATTACACACTGTGTTAGTACAAAGGGACGGGAAACATTTTTTATAACACAATGTGTTAGTACAAAGGGACGGGAAACATTTTTTATATTACACACTGTGTTAGTACAAAGGGACGGGAAACATTTTTATAACACAATGTGTTAGTACAAAGGGACGGGAAACATTTTAATTTTTATTTTAAGGTAGTATAGTTATGGCTTAGAAATTTATGATGTGAGTGTATCTATTAACTGTCACGGAAGTAGTTATATTAGGAACAGTCACTTCAGTACCGAATCAAGACTGATATGTTAAAAACATAGGTTAATGAAGAAGGGATGTTTCTACATATAAATGGAAAATTTACAAAAGGAAATCGGAATTATCATACTTGGTGGAAAATGTCCCTGTTGGTTTCGTTGTAAGAAATGAATAAGGTATGCGGCTAATAAAAACGAGTTTGTTGTGTCCCTGGTTCCCAATCATGGTGAGTATATACGAAAGACATAGTCAACTTATTATTATCTAAAGCAGAGACGTATCTATATCATTACACGTCCATGTTTAAGGACAAGATCTAATCAATATACCTGAATTGAAATGGAAAAAATAATACGTGGAAATTAGTCCATCTACTTGCATCTGCAGAGGTGTAACAAAAAAAGTTCATATTACCACGGCAGTTTAACAATGTCTTTTTTCTTCTAGGCGTTTAAAATGTCGTACATCCCGGAAAGATTCCCAAGATACAAGGATTATGCTCTCCCACCATTTCCACCACTGAAAGGCAACATTTCTGGACATTTAGACAAAATTAAGGACTTCGAATCGCGAGATTCAGATATTTTCATCTGTACTTTTCCAAAGTCAGGTACTCACATTGTTTGCTATTCCTTATCTTACGATGAATCGCCCACCTTATGTGGGTCATCTTTACTAATTCATGAAATGTTAACTTCTAAAGTAAAATAAACGTATTAATAAATCGTTACAAGTTCATTTATATCAATAATAAACTCGTTAATTTTGATTATTTGATTGTCTTCCAGTGATCAATACACTGGTCAATAAAGTGGTCAATATTGTGGTAATTTACTTGTGGTTAATATTTAGGTCAATATAGTGGTATCTAGATATCGTTCTAGTGGTTAATATTGGGGTCAAAATAGTGGTATCTAGATATCGTTCTAGTGGTCAATATTTAGGTCAATATAGTGATATCTAGATATCGTTCTAGTGGTTAATATTGGGGTCAATATAGTGGTATCTAGATATAGTTCTAGTGGTTAATATTGGGGTTAATTTAGTGGTATCTAGATATCGTTCTAGTGGTTAATATTGGAGTTAATTTAGTGGTATCTAGATATCGTTCTAGTGGTTAATATTTAGGTCAATATAGTGGTATCTAGATATCGTTCTAGTGGTTAATATTGGGGTTAATTTAGTGGTATCTAGATATCGTTCTAGTGGTTAATATTGGAGTCAATACAGTGGTATCTAGATATCGTTCTAGTGGTCAATATTGGGGTTAATTTAGTGGTATCTAGATATCATTCTAGTGGTTAATATTGGGGTTAATTTAGTGGTATCTAGATATAGTTCTAGTGGCTAATATTGGGGTCAATATAGCGGTTATCTAGCGCTGAACCTAGAGGTTAACACAGAGAACTCTATTGATCAATATAGAGGTATTTCTTTATCGGTCTAGTGCTTAATATGAGGTCAGTTTATTTGTCATCTTGTGGTGAATCTATAGGTCAATAGAGAGATCTCTTTTGATCAGTACAGTCATCTCAGGTGGTCACAATACTGGTCTCTAGAGGTCACTTTGGTTGTTCTAGTGGTCACTCAGTGGTTTGTCTGCCAGCTATCGCCGACCTCTTGCATTTGCAGGCATCTAAAATATACATGCATCCGTCATCCATAATTATCTCAAGTGAAATATTGACAAATGATTTATCTTTAAAATGTGAACACTTCGAATTTAGAAGCACTTTTATAACAGTTCATGACATAATTTTATCCAGAAATATTTTTCACCGAAGATGTATTGTCATTGATCGGCTATAGAACACAATGGAATGATACACAGTTTACCACGACGACCGCATTGAACTTATAGGAATGTAATGTGAGAATGTGACAGACTCACAACGTTGCTATATATGATAAAAATATAGCTTCTTATTATTCATTAATCTCTCCAAAATGTTTTTATGTTTCTTTTTAGGGACAAACTGGATCAATGAAATCGTCAGTATGATCAGTAAAGGTCGGTCAGAATATAGCGAAGTGTATAAAAATACCGCTATGTTGGAAGCCCTTCCTAGTTTTGGAGCTCTCCATGATGTTCCAGAAAGTACTACACGAATCATAAACTCTCATTTGCCGTTTGCGGACCTCCCATCGAAGCATATACAGAATGGATACAAAGTTGTCCATTTTCTTCGTAATCCTAAAGATGTTGCTGTGTCGTTTTACAACCACCTGACTAATATAAAGGACTTCACGACAATGCAAGCACCGAAAGACTACCCAGCCAGTTGGCCTCTATATATAGAACATTACTGCCGAGGAGAAGGTGAGGAACCTGTGTATTTAATCAAGTTTTGTCCTCTTTTGTGTTTTGATGATTGATAGACATTTATATTGACCAAGCTTTATTTCCCACAATCCCCTGGAAAGTTTCAACACTTTAAATCCTTGGCATCACCAACAAATTCTATAAGGACGAAACCGCTGTATGATGCAGTTTCAATTTAAGTATACTATATCTAAATGTATTGAATGGTGTTTTTCACTCTAGTGTCTTTTTGTACAACCCTTTAAGATAACATTTATCTTCTGTGAAAGGAAAGTCAAGGTTCAGGATGATTCCATGCTTAAAAAGCTACTGGGTTAGAAGTTCTCTCTCGGACTCCAATTCAATAAAACTAGGACACTTGTTACATAATAGTCTTATACACTGGAAGTGGTCAGAGGAGAGGGATGGTGTATGACACAGACAACGAAAATCACATTTCTATTTAATCAAAAGATCTGTTTCATTGATTTTTTGCAATAATGTCATCTACAATCACTAGATGCTTGGAACAAAAGACAAATAGCAGAGTAGTAATAATAGAAGTAGGCCAAATAGCCACTGGCTTTATCCTTGTCTTTTTTAGAATTTTACGGGGGTTGGTTCAACTATGAAAAAGGTTTCGAGAAAGCAAAGGAAACCGGTGAATTATCTAATGTATTCACAGCCCATTATGAACAACTGAAACAGGTAAGATTTTTTATCATAACTACGGAATCGAATGTGTCGTTCGTCACAGCTCAGGCGATGATTAGAGCGTGACGTTAATTCAATAAAGACATGTGACATAAACGTTATTTTAGAATGTGATTTATACTGTGGGTCTCTTGTAATGTAAATTTGATTACATTTAATCTAACCCTATGCACTCCTTTATAGTATAACTACTTCATAAAGATGACTTAATATAATTTGTAGGATCCATTACCCGTACTAAGAGCCCTGGCCAATTTCCTTGGTGTGAAGGCCACAGATGAACTGCTGGAGGACATCAACGAACGATGCTCGTTTGATAAAATGTCAACAGTCGGTGCTTCAGAGAAAGACGATTCTGTTATCAAAGCGATGTCGGTTACAGGAAAAAATTTCATCTTCCGGAAAGGTTTGAGAAATCATATTCAATTTGTAAATGCTCTGGACTTTTGTCTCTGCTTTGCTTAAAACGCATCTATTATTAAAAGTTAAATATATACATAGCAAGAGATGATAATATGGTTACGACATTAGAAGGTTCAGACGCTAACATCAATGTTATTGTTTAATGTTAGTTTATAGAGACATATCTAAGTTGTCATATCCTTGTTTAACAAGTAGAATTAACACCTGACATTCCAAAACTATCTGTGCAACATACAGCATAACAAGATACAGAATCACTCGTCATCCGACATTCTACATACAGGATTCGGGAGTGTTGTTCAAACACAAACGTACTTCAGCTTTCGGAATACAATGTGGTGTGACTAGTCATACGATATCAAACCAGAAGGTGTTAATTGGTAATCGCCAGTGGTTGACGATGCATTTGTGTGGAAATATATACGTTGTCTGAGACTACGTGAAATTTTAGTTAAATTAACTCAAACTGTCATTTTCCTCTATTTTGTCATTTTATTGATTTTTTAAAAAAAAATTATTTATTTTTATTTATTTATTTATTTATTTATTTATTTATGTCTTTTCAGGACAAGTAGGAGATTGGAAAAACTGGTTTACAGTGGCACAGAATGAAGCTTTTGACAGGCTTATAGAAACTAATATGAAAGACTCAAAATTGAAATTTAGATACGAATATATCGTGAAAGACTGATAAAATATGATTTAGACAGATAGCTGTTCCAATAAGTTCGTAGTACCAATCCATTGGTGGAATACCTTTGAGAGTTCTTTCCGGATTTTTTTTTTTATTATTTTTTAATTATCAGTCTTCATTAGTAAAATGTAGTAACCTTCAAAGACAGGGGGAAAATCTTCATCAAGAAGATGAAATATTGTTTAAAAACATTAAAAAAAGACAAATAGAATAGGCTAGCGTCGCTTTTCCATACAGCATAACATACAATATCGCGAAAAATATCAAAACTGCATCATTCAGCTTTTTCTTTCTTGCGGACAGTGATTGTTCAGTAATTCTAAGGGCCTAAGCGGGGAAATACGGGAGGCAATTGGGGAAAATCAAATGTAATCGAAACATTTTTCAAACATATGAAAATGATTATTTAAACATACAACATTAATCATGTTCGTGTTAAATAATCAGATGGTGAATAATATTATTAAAATGACGTTTTCCGAGTCTATTCATAGATAAAAGGCATATAACTAACTCATTTTCTAGTAGTCAGAATATAATCATATTAAAATGGCGTGTGGACACGTTTTCCTGAGTCTATTCATAGCTAAGAGGTATATCATTAAGTCATTCTCCATTAGCCAGAATATAATAATATCATTAAAATGACGTGAGGACACGTTACCTGAATCTCCTCATAGACAAAAGGCATATCATTAAGTCATTCTCCATTAGTCAGAATAGTGTGTGAACTGGACATTACATTAAATTTTCTCCACAAATGGCATTACTTGTGTGTTGATTTTGATGAACTCAAAAGAGTTTTTGGCCAAACTTGAATATCCTCTCTTTCGAATCCAGTCTTTTATAGGAATATTCATTTGTCCATGTTGTTAATTAGCACACCCTGCACCAAATACCAACCCGGTGGTAAACTCAACAGAACCAGAAATGAAGGAAGCTTGGAGTCCGCTACATCAGTTGCATACCGTGGTCCTTTCTTTCGAAGAAACAAATAGGAACACTTTTACACCGAATTGTATGAAAGACTTGAAGATGTCGTTCCCTAGCAGGAATTTCTAAATAGCAATATTCCTGCTTTCACAACAAAAGACATTTACATGCTGTAGTTGATTGGATACGCAAGGGTTTGTTCCCAATATAAGCTTTTCTTGCAAAAGTGACGACAACTGACAAATTGAGAGATGCAGGATGATGAAGATTATGGAGAAGTTTAATGGTCGTGTCATAATGATCTAATTGTGAATATGTATTGTGTGGCATGAAGTTTTCTATGCGCGTGACGGTTTCGTTGTTGATGACTTTCTTATCGGACACGAAAAAAGTTGACAAAAACATCATAATGACGACCATTAAAAGTTCTCACATTCTCAATTAATCTGTATCCCTCTTTTTGTTTATGTGTGTATGTTTTGGGGATCGCCTAAGACTGCAAGCTTACGCGAATAAAATCTAGGACCACCTAGCGCTACGACAACGATGATAAAATCATTCAACACAAAAATCAACTTCTCTTCGGCTCAAAAATTGTGGGAAGGAAATGGAGGATTTCACGTCAAAAGTAGAGGATGAGACCCATTGCTAACTTTCTTTGGGAAGGTATTGTTTAACTTAAAGATGAAGTTAAGCTGATAATGCAGAAATCAAATATTTCTAAATAACCCGATCATACCAATTCAATGTTTTACTACAACACTACACGAACATACCGACGGTTTGTTAAACGCCAGTGGTTCCATACGACTAGACGCTGTCGCTTAGTTTAGCAAGAGAAAACGGCAAATGTAGCATATCTACCAAGTGCTTACAAAGTAATCAGGCTTAGTATTACAACAGTAAGGAGTGCTACTTGTGGGAGAGACTCTCGTCCTCACATAAACGATGTAATTTATTTATATTGGGTGTTGTGCCCCTTATAGTACGTCAAAACGCTTGACTTTTATTTCTCAACATGGTGAGAAAGTTGACCGATGCACACACTTATATCGATACACATTACATCATTTGCATTTTACATGTTTTTAGGGGGCCTGTGATTAAAGTAAGAATTAACACTACGAAAATGTCAATCATTCCTCTGTTACCCGAATGATTGACTTGTGAATAGGTTAGCGCAATAAAACGTACAAGAATTACGTCATTTTAGCTACGACGTGCTGGTGTCTCCGTAGTACATCTGCGGTTACATTGTAGGACAGTGTTAACACACCGTCCTAATTTATCACACTTCTAGTCGTTATATAACTGTCATCATAAAACAACTTATCATAATGCTGATCCGAACTTTACCAGATAAAGGTAAGACTAATGTTTTATTTCATGAATCTTTATTCGTAACCCTGCAGCATGTCACGCGTCTAATTCCTGTGAATACTTTTATTATTCAGAATATACACGTGCTTTTCATCGGCATTTAATATGCTTCTATATTGAAAGTGAGTTTTCAAGTTAATGCCCTTATTTTATGCAAGTTAAGATATCACTGAAAAATTACCCATCTATCATTACCTACACAGTAAAACAGTCTTGCAAAATATCTGACAAGGAAAATAAATATAAAAATGACTCCTTGACAGTTTCAGCCATATTTGATTTATTTGTCTTTGGTTGATCACTAGCGTCACCGCATGCGATTCTATGTTCTAAATAATGACCCGGTTACAATTGAATAAGTATTCATGTATTATCCGTTTCAATTATTTTGTTCTACAACATTTCAGAGAAAGTTGAGAAATGTCGAAATTACAAGATCCTTGAACCGTAAATTTGAAACAAAACAATTTTTAGTTTGTTCATAAGTTACTGGATGCAGTTTGCTGGCGTCTTTCAACTCATTTCCCCTTGTATCAACTATGGATTAAAAGAAAATGTTTTTTGCTACAGACGTTAGAGATGCCCTACATACCAGAACGATTCCCTCGTTACAAGGACTATGTTCTCCCGCCATTTCCTTCCCTGACATGTGGTCTATCGGAACAGCTTGACAAAATCAAAAACTTCGAATCGCGGGAATCGGATATACTCATTTGCACGTTCCCAAAATCAGGTAAAGTCAGTTTTATCAAACATTGACTTAATATTACAATTCGATAAAACATCTCTCTTAATGAAAGAAATAGCAATTTGTATCAAACATTTCTTCATACGACATCAACTGACAACAATATACTTACGATGAGTATACATGCAACATTTATCATAGAACATATGACGAAATACAATGTATTAGATTTCCAATTCCATTAATTGTGGGCCATTTTTGTGGTCACGACAGACGCCGTTAAATATTTTACTTTACAGTGTAATTGTGTGTCGCTGCTTCATGGCTGATACATCAATCAATCTCTATACTGCGTAACACGCTCGAAATCAACACAAACAGCATCAACATCAATTTTCAAGGTCAAATCTAATAGTTGATATATATATAGTAAATAATTGAAAGTCACCAAATAAGTAATGTGAATTACCCTGGAAACAATAGTAAAATACCTAAGTGGTTATGATGCCGCTTGTCGCCACCGCGTTACCATGGAATCAGCTGAGGTCATAATCCGCACTCAGTAACATTGCTGAACAACATGTCTCCTAGTTAAAATCGTTTTATAGATCGTCTCTTCCTTTTAAGGGATTGACAGGAACTGGCGTTATAAATAAAACAAGGAAACAGGGACAGTATCTTGCTTCGGGGAAAAGAGGGAAGGGGTGGATGGGTCTTGTTAAAAATGTGTTTATTTTGATCAGTAAATTTTAAATTTGACGTAATAGAAGGGAGATAACTCCAGTTCATCTATATCTAAGTAAACAAACACAGTTAAATGGTAATAATTTGAACTATTCAGAAAGGATATATCTTTAACATACAATTTCTAAAACTCTATTTTGTTGGCCTCGACTTATCTTTATTAAATATAATAAGATGATCATTTTGGAAACCATGCTGTTGTTATTATTATCAGAGTGATACTGGACATTCTGTTACTGTGTACCGTGTACCTCTATAACCGTGTACCTATATAACCGTGTACTTATATAACTGTGTACTGATATAACTGTGTACCGTGTACCTATATAACTGTGTACTTATATAACCGTGTACTTATATAACCGTGTACTGATATAACTGTGTACTGATATACCCGTGTACTGATATAACCGTGTACTGATATAACCGTGTACTTATATAACCGTGTACTGATATAACCGTGTACTGATATACCCGTGTACTGATATAACCGTGTACTGATATAACCGTGTACTTATATAATCGTGTACTGATATAAACGTGTACTTATATAACCGTGTACTGATATAACCGTGTACTGATATAACCGTGTACCTATATAACCGTGTACTGATATAACCGTGTACTGATATAACCGTGTACCTATATAACCGTGTACCTATATAACCTATATAACCGTGTACTGATATAACCGTGTACTTATATAATCGTGTACTTATATAATCGTGTACTTATATAACCGTGTACCTCTATAACCGTGTACTGATATAACCGTGTACTGATATAACCGTGTACCTATATAACAGTGTACTTATATAACCGTGTACTGATATAACCGTGTACTTATATAACCGTGTACTGATATAACCGTGTACTGATATAACCGTGTACCTATATAACCGTGTACTGATATAACTGTGTACCTATAAAACCGTGTACTGATATAACCGTGTACCTATATAACCGTGTACTTATATAACCGTATACCTATATAACCTATATAACTGTGTACCTATATAACCGTGTACCTATATAACCGTGTACTGATATAACCGTGTACTGATATAACCGTGTACTGATATAACCGTGTACCTATATAACCGTATACCTGTATAACCTATATAACTGTGTACCTATATAACAGTGTACCTATATAATTATGTACCTATACAACCGTGTACTTATATAACCGTGTACTGATATAACCGTGTACTGATATAAACGTGTACTGATATAACCGTGTACTGATATAACCGTGTACTGATATAACCGTGTACTTATATAATCGTGTACTGATATAACCGTGTACTGATATAACCGTGTACTTATATAACCGTGTACTTATATACCCGTGTACTTATATAACCGTGTACTGATATAACCGTGTACTTATATAACCGTGTACTTATATAACCGTGTACCTATATAACCGTGTACCTATATAACCGTGTACCTATATAACCGTGTACTTATATAACCGTGTACTGATATAACCGTGTACTGATATAACTTGTACTGATATAACCGTGTACCTATATAACCGTGTACTTATATAACCGTGTACTGATATAACCGTGTACTGATATAACTTGTACTTATATAACCGTGTACCTCTATAACCGTGTACTGATATAACCGTGTGCTGATATAACCGTGTACTTATATAACCGTGTACTTATATAACCGTGTACTTATATAACCGTGTACCTATATAACCGTGTACCTCTATAACCGTGTACTGATATACCCGTGTACTGATATAACCGTGTACCTATATAACCGTGTACCTATATAACCGTGTACTTATATAACCGTGTACTTATATAACCGTTTACTTATATAACCGTGTACTTATAAAACCGTGTACCTATATAACCGTGTACCTATATAACCGTGAACCTATATAACCTATATAACCGTGTACTTATGTAACCGTGTACTATATAACTGTGTACTTATATAACAGTGTACTTATATAACCTATATAACCGTATACCTATATAACCGTGTACTGATATAACCGTGTACTTATATAACCGTGTACTTATATAACTGTGTACATAACCTTATACCTATATAACCGTGTACCTATATAACCGTGTACATATATAACCGTGTACTGATATAACCGTGTACATATATAACCGTGTACCTATATAACCGTGTACCTATATAACCGTGTACCTATATAACAGTGTACTTATATAACCTATATAACCGTATACCTATATAACCGTGTACTGATATAACTGTGTACTTATATAACAGTGTACCTATATAACTGTGTACCTATATAACCGTGTACATAACCTTATACCTATATAACCGTGTACCTATATAACTGTGTACCTATATAACAGTGTACTTATATAACCTATATAACCGTATACCTATATAACCGTGTACTGATATAACCGTGTACTTATATAACCGTGTACTTATATAACTGTGTACATAACCTTATACCTATATAACCGTATACCTATATAACCGTGTACTGATATAACCGTGTACTTATATAACCGTGTACTTATATAACTGTGTACCTATATAACAGTGTACATAACCTTATACCTATATAACCGTGTACCTATATAACCGTGTACATATATAACCGTGTACTTATATAACCGTGTACTTATATAACTGTGTACCTATTTAACAGTGTACATAACCTTATACCTATATAACCGTGTACCTATATAACTGTGTACCTATATAACCGTGTACCTATATAGCCGTGTACCTATATAACCGTGTACCTATATAGCCGTGTACCTATATAGCCGTGTACCTATATAACCGTGTACCTATATAGCCGTGTACCTATATAACCGTGTACCTATATAACCGTGTACCTATATAGCCGTGTACCTATATAGCCGTGTACCTATATAACCGTGTACCTATATAACCGTGTACCTATATAACTGTGTACCTATATAACCGTGTACCTATATAACCGTGTACTTATATAACTGTGTACCTATATAACCGGGTACCTATATTACCGTGTACCTATATAACCGTGTACCTATATAACTAATGAAAGTGAATGCGACGTTGCTTGTCAATGTATCTGATCTATAATTATAAAAGAGTTCCTGATTTTGCTAATAATTATCCAGTCTATTTTTTAAATGTGTTTACATTCGGCGTAAGGAAAAATGTTCTTGCGAATATCTAATCTGAAATGTTGTAGAAATATATTCAGTGTCTATGATCTGTTATCTATGTGGTGAAATGAACACGAGAAATGACACATATATATAACTGTGATGTTGTCTATGTGGTGAAATAAACACGAGATATGACACATATATAACTGTGATGTTGTCTATGTGGTGAAATAAACACGAGATATGACATATATATAACTGTGATGTTGTCTATGTGGTGAAATAAACACGAGATATGACATATATATAACTGTGATGTTGTCTGTGTGGTGAAATAAACACGGGATAAGAAGCCAGTACAATGGTATAACCGTATATAGAATTAACACTGAAATGATAACTAATATCTTATCTTACCTTATGTATTCCTAGATATACATGATTTCACGACAAAAAAATGTAATATCAGTCACTTGACAGTTGTTCTAATCTTACACAGCAATGCTTAGTCGATTAGATAAAACGGAATACTCATCGTAATGCGATGTATATTACGACGATCCTATGGACTGAAAGGTAACCCTTTCTACTTCAAATCTAAACAAAACAATGTCAAGATCAAAGCGAAGTCATTCACAGTCACAGATCAATAAATCTACACTCACAGATCATTCCAAACAGCAAAATCATATCATTGACTGAGAAAATTCCAAAAACATTTTCAGATGATGTTAAGGAAGCGATTTGGATACGCCGCAGAGGGCCAGGGCTTAATAGGGACGAGGGGGCGACAGAATCAGACACAGGCTACACACGCATTCTTTTTAAGTGAAAGGGGTAAAATTATAATGAATAAGATTTGTTTTTCGATATCTAATTTTTTTCTGTCCGAAATTAAAAACAAATACATTGTACTTTTAATTTTGATGTAAAATAAACTGATTGTGCATGGAGAGAAAAAAAGGACAAGAAAAGAATTCCGGTATGGAAAAATACTTTCTTTGTTGATAAGATCTATATCAGCAAATTAATTGTTTCTTATGCTTTGTTACAACACGAGAAAGGTTTTCGTTAAGAATGCAATATGCCTTCAGAAAAAAAAGGCTTGAGTTATCATAACGCTACACACACGACCTTGAATTAATGAGGCAAAGTCATACACACACTGTTTAAGGGATTTACATATGTATATGAAACATAATACAGAGCTAAGTAGAGGGCTTCCATAGATTGCCTATTGCCCAAATCCTTTTGTCAGCGAGATCTTGACAATAAGATATTCTGAAATGAGATGATAGCAAATGAAATACAAACCATTATGTAGCGTTATTTGCGCTGGTAAAGACACGTTACAATAGCTACATGTATACATTATTTCTTGTAATATATCCGTAGGAACACACTGGGTTAATGAAGTTGTCAACATGCTTATCAAAGGTAGTGCTGAGTATGGTAACGTTTCCAAAAATACAGTAATGTTGGAAGGAATTGGTAGCTTTGAAGGCCTTGACAACGCCCCGGAAAAATCTACCCGGATCATCAACTCGCATCTTCCCTTGGCAGATCTACCGGAGAAACATATTAAAAATGGATACAAGATTGTACACGTCATTCGAAACCCTAAAGATGTAACCGTGTCGTTTTATAACCATTTGTGTAATGTGAAGAACGGAGAGACGTTGGAGCTACCTACCGACTACCCCATCAGCTGGAACCTGTTTGTACAACACTACTGTCGGGGAGAAGGTCAGTAGTCTACATAGTTATAGTACTAATCCTGTTCCATTCCATTCATTAATTACCACCTACTTGTATACTAACGCTTGTATCTATATGTGTTCATAAAGACTATGAAAAGACAATGTTTCCAAACACATATGGAAATGTCAACAGACTCCTAGTTCAAACTCTAATTCGATGAAAAATAGCAAAATATGAACTTGTGAACATATTGTATAACATATCTTCACGGCGCTTGAGTTTAATATTTTCTTTTAACTGCATAAGAAGTGATGCATGATATGTGTCAATGATTGATGGCCCCTTTTGCAGATAATCCACCATCAGAATACCATCAGCACCTCAGAAAAAACGAGGGCATAACATTCCCAGCTGATGGAACTGTCTTTGCCTTAACCTTTCTAGCTGATGGTCGGGGAGGGGGGTTCCAGGGTGCGTGCAGGATCTGCCTCTGAAATGTTCAGTTTCGCACGCACCAAAATCCGCCCGGTGTGATTATGGTCAACTGTCTGAAGTTTTGGTACCCAATGGGCTGAGAACTTTCTCATTGCAAGAATGGAATGCACCCTTTCTTGTGAAATCCCAACTGCACTGGCTATAAATCTCTGTGCAACTCGCCCGTCAGCCATTACAATATCATGACCTTTATTGGTCATTTCTGGGGTTGTAACAGTGACAGACCTTCCAAGACGGGCGTCATCCCCTAGTCTCTGCATGCCACGCTTAAATTCCGCCACCCACCTTTTTACTGTAGCATATGAAGGGGCATCATTCCCTAGTGTTGCTACCATATCAGTATCAATATCCTTAGGTTCTAAACATTTCTTTTGCTAATATCGAATCACTGCTCTCTCACCAAATTTTCCTGTTTTGCAAAAATCACTTTCCTTGTTTACTCCAGAGTGCTAATTCTACGACATAAACTGACCAAATGACATCAGTCTTCAGGTACACAGCCTTAAATAGTCAGGGAATAGTAGAGCTGAAAAAGGACATCCCTGCTTAACTTCTTCCAAACATGGCTCACAATTTATCGATCAGTCCTCGTAAATTAGAACGCTTCCTGTTTCAGAACTCTACGGAGGTTGGTTCAAGTATGAAAAGACCTTCGAAAAGGCCAAGGAGAACGGCGAGTTATCTGATGTATTTACCCTGCATTATGAACAACTGAAACGGGTAAGTAACGCTTGAAACTTAGACTCAATGTATGAGTATGGGGGATGAAATAGATGACTTAGACTCAATGTATGAGTATGATGGGATGAAATAGATGACTTCAACTCAATGTATGAGTATGGGGGATGAAATAGGTGACTTCAACTCAATGTATGAGTATGGGGGATGAAATAGATGACTTAGACTCAATGTATGAGTATGATGGGATGAAATAGATAACTTCAACTCAATGTATGAGTATGGGGGATGAAATAGGTGACTTCAACTCAATGTATGAGTATGGGGGATGAAATAGATGACTTCAACACAATGTATGAGTATGGGGGATGAAATAGGTAACTTCAACTCAATGTATGAGTATGGGGGATGAAATAGGTGACTTCAACTCAATGTATGAGTATGGGGGATGAAATAGGTGACTTCAACTCAATGTATGAGTATGGGGGATGAAATAGGTGACTTCAACTCAATGTATGAGTATGGGGGATGAAATAGGTGACTTCAACTCAATGTATGAGTATGGGGGATGAAATAGGTAACTTCAACTCAATGTATGAGTATGGGGGATGAAATAGGTGACTTCAACTCAATGTATGAGTATGGGGGATGAAATAGGTGACTTCAACTCAATGTATGAGTATGGGGGATGAAATAGGTGACTTCAACTCAATGTATGAGTATGGGGGATGAAATAGGTGACTTCAACTCAATGTATGAGTATGGGGGATGAAATAGGTGACTTCAACTCAATGTATGAGTATGATGGATGAAATAGATGACTTCAACTCAATGTATGAGTATGATGGGATGAAATAGGTGACTTCAACTCAATGTATGAGTATGGGGGATGAAATAGGTAACTTCAACTCAATGTATGAGTATGGGGGATGAAATAGGTGACTTCAACTCAATGTATGAGTATGGGGGATGAAATAGGTGACTTCAACTCAATGTATGAGTATGGGGGAGGGGGAATGAAATAGGTGACTAGGACTCTATGTATAGGTATGAGTATGGGGGCGGATGACATCTTATATTTCTGAAGTAGAATAATTGTAAATGAATAGGTTTGTGGAAACGTGAGACTTGTCACGACTCAAACAGGAGTGTATTGATTTAATATAGAAACACAGACGTGTATGTTTATGGAAGAGCTTGAAGATGACTGTGAGATATTTCACAGTAGGGGTGTCATTATCAGCACAACATTTGGGTAGGTAAATTCAAGGATTGGTAAGTGACATTTAATTGTTGAAGTAAGGATGTACTTTAAACACATACTGCTTACATTTACATTAATTGTGAAAAAAATAACGTCAGCTGGTCTTTACTTAACATGAGGGGTGTCACTGCGGAAAGAAACAGTAGTGCCAGGGGAACCCAGGACGTCGGGGCAGGTGACGCCATATTTGTTCAAGTCTGTTAAGGAAATCAAATATCTGGATGTCCAGAAGAAAGGCAGTTGTGTTACACCTGGCTGCAAAATCAGACATTCTCTTATATATTCTCGTTTTAAATGAAAATCTCGAAATCTTTGACACACCAATATATAGCTATATGCTATTAACATTAACATACTCTCTGCAGACGTGTTTATTATCTAAGGTATTTTATCAGGATACGTGTCAGTTTTTTTTTATGATTGTAATCCCTTTGTTGTACCTGTATTCCTGTATTTAGGAACCCTTGCCCATCCTGAAATCCCTGGCGGCGTTCCTTTGCGTGGAGGCATCAGATGAACTACTGGAGGATATCAATGACAAATGTTCGTTTGATAAGATGTCAACAGTTGGTGAAGCAAACCGAGATAATGCTGCTGTTAAAAAAATGTCGGTCACAGGAAAAAACTTCATATATCGCAAAGGTGTGTGTAAACAATTTCATTAAATTCTTCCGTCATCAATCTTAGATTGTTCTTATCTATAACATAAACGTAAGGACAATCACGTGTGTTATAACATTAAATTTAAGTATGATCGATCAATGGCGGTCACGGACTAAAGATGGTAGTCATCAGATGTGTGATTGTGACACATACAACAGAAATATATCGTATGGTAACATATCATCCGTGTATTTTATTGGAAACTATCGCGAATAAACTATTTATATCTTGTCAAATGAAAGTGCGGCAGTTCGACTAATCTAGACTTGATTATCTTTATCTCCTTGTGGTATACACAGTATATTGTATTGTACCAAAATAGGCTGGTTCAATCCTAAAAATAGGTTAACATAAAACTTTTATTTCTCCTTTTAATAATTTCTGATCATATGTTGTTATTTCAGGACAAATAGGAGACTGGAAAAACTGGTTTACGGTGGCACAGAATGAAGCTTTTGACTTGCTTATTGAGACAGAAATGAAAGACTCGAAATTAAAATTTACCTATCAGTGACTTGAAGATCTTTCAGTAAAGGACATTGATTTTTAAATTATCATTATCATCCCTCAGCAATCAAGGAGAATAAAATATGAAAACATTTTAATAAAATTCAGTAAAACGAGACCGTGTGTTGTTGTTATTATCTAATATGTTAATGTTTCTGTGTGGTTGGGTGGGGCAGTGGTAGTAGTAACACATTTACTTTTCACCGACGTCCGAGGTTCGATTCCCTGACGTGAAGGACATGAGGATCACTGTCATGACCATGTAGATTTTTCCCTAGGTACTCCTGTTTCCTTCTACAATAGCCCCCGCCCCCCCCCCCCCGCCCTCCTCCCCCAACCCGGCCCCACCCACCCCCTCTCCCCATCCCCTTTCTCCCTCCCGAGCTCCCATCCGGTGATACATGATCATGTTGTCTGAAAGGAGTTTAGCATATAAATTTATAAGTGAGGTTAATGTATATTAATAAATATACAAGTCTATGGATGTACATCTCTATGTCTATGGATATGCAAATATTCACGTGACATGAGCAGGAGAAAAGCAAATAAAACTATCGTATTTTCACCGTCACTTTATTGTCTAGTAAAAAGTAAGAATTACACATTCAACCGAAACACAAAAGTGACTCGGTGTCTGTTAGATATCTCACAAGTTGATTCTAATTGGGGTTTGAACAGTGTTAATGCACTTTATTATGATTAAAGTATTTAATTGCTCCAGTCAGGCAAGCTGTTCGAATATGTTCTGTAAGGTGTGTCCAAAGCACATGTATATGTCCTTTGTTCTTGGCCTAACACAGTTGAATAATTAAGATCCATCAGATTTGTGTGTACCTGCATTTACCTTATATTTTCGAAGTGTATATATTTTAACCTGATAAAATTCTATTGATTAGCAATAAAAGTGTACTGATCGACGGAGGGATTTCTGTTTTATAAAACTTGATCATTCTGTGTCTGTTTATATCTCTAATGACATTCTGGTGTACATTTTAGTAATCGTTTATTCTTTCATGTTTTCTATATCACAAAGGTCCTAAAAAACTGCGTTATTTGAATGAATGTAAAGGCACTCGATATTCCAGTCGGTGCGTTGTACATTTGGTAGGAGTAACTATGCAGAAATGTCGATGATTGGTTCTGTCATCTACTCCAGTATTTTGGATTATGTTTTCGTTTCTCAAAAATTGTTATTTGTATTTTGTTGTTGTTGTTTTGTTTTTTTTTTTTTTTTTTTGCGGAAAATATCATAGAAAGTTTTGTTATCATTTAAAGACTGAAAATGTACAAAAGACTGGTGAAAACGATACATGAAAAATGGTAATTGAGTTTAACATTCGATTTTAACAAGCAAAGAGAAAGACAGATAAAACACAACACTAACAAGAGATGTTAAAATTTTGCTCAGCATTTATAAAGTATCGTTTTCTTAATATCGAGTTTAGAATGATTATTTTCCTATCAACTCAAACTTTTAAAAAGAACAACATCAGATATTTGACAAAACATATCCTCAATGTCAAATCTTAACTACAAACGGAAATTGGAAAATTATGTTAGCTAATCTTTTGATTTTTGTTTTTGTTTTTGTTTTGTTTTGTTTTGTTTTGTTTTTTTTTGCTTTTCCCCCCAATTGAGGCCATCGATATAAAAATGCACACCACTTCGACAAAGGTCGAATACTTTCTTGCTAACCAGCCCTCTAAAGTCACAAGACTATAGCAATAAGTGTGCACCATTCTCTACCAACTTACCTATAAGAACAGGCACAACAAAACACGCGTGTTTACCTAAAGTAGAAATCTATATATTCTAATGTTTTTATATTAGCTCACTTGGTCAAAAGGACAGGTCGGTTTACGGCATAACTTGGCGTCTGCCGTCCATCAGCTTCCTGAAAATCGGTAATAGTCAGTAACTACTAAGCCGATTTTGATCAAATCATGTTTTGTGGTAACCTGCATGGCACATAATCAAACATCTGGATAGTGACAGTGTTTAGAATAGATCACGTACTGAAAGTTCTTTGAAAATAATTCAGTATTGAAGGAAAGCAAAACTGATATTAATGCACCTCTAAACCGAAAGCCATGGCCGATTCTGACAGTCCTCGCTCGGTTCCGTATCTTACACCTCTGACGTCACTAACAGCTGTTGGATGACCTTTGATATATACTGTATCTAATACTAATGAGTTTGTACGTAATAGCGTTTTTTACTTGTGAGTTTTGTACCAAAAAACAGTTGTGTTCTATTAAGATTCTGCTTTTCATTCTAATAAAATCGATACCGTTATTTTTATAAAATTGAATTTTAATTCGTTTATCATTTAAGACCACCAGCTTGTAACTGACGCAGTCGAAAGATTAAGGTAAATTTACAAAGGACACACATTTTTCAATACAAATTAAGAATTAGATATACAAAGGCAGATAATGAATTAAAATTTGTTAATACCAGTTGCGTGTGGAGGGGGTGTGTATTCCGTTGCATTTCTTTCCGGTACTACAGAATGTAATTAATTACAGATCACGTGATATTGATCACATTTTAGAATATGCCGTTACCTGAATGTCATTTGTATGGTTGGCAGAGATGTTTAACACTTCGTAAAATTGTGTTATTGATACATTCGTTATCGCCTGAGAACTCAAAATGGAATGAAATATTCCTTGTTACCATTCAAGACATGATGCGACTACCGTTCCGTGAAAGTATATGAAAATACGTCTGCTCATTTGTGTTTGAGACGCATAAAGTCTAGAAGTCATGGTGTAGGGTTGACTATATTAACCTAAGCTAATATGGCAAATTTTACCGTACAGATTATGACTTTTTGCGCCGTTTTCGGTATGTCTGCGTCTTCATTGTCGCAAAGCGTTTTCCTGAACATGAACGATTTATCTTTTACAAGGGGATTCATCCTAGTCACGGACGTGTTTTATACTTTCGAGCCATTTGGTGTTCTACAATGCATGCGAGAATGTAAATTAAGAACGAAATGCAAAATAATGGGATGGAGCTCTCGGAAATGTCACCTGGGTGAAAATAAGACTGCAAAAATTTCGTCGACAAACAAGGAGGATTTAGTAAGCCAACCGGAAACATGGAGTCCTTCAACGTTAGGTAGACTTATGGGAACATGTGATCTGCACACGTGTCCAAATGGAAAGAAATGTGTCCGACGGTCGAATGGCTTGTCAATTTGTATGACATCAGAATGTCAAGATCCGCCTAGAATTACGTCAGCTAAGACACCAACCACGTCAACAGTGGTTAATTCCCGGTTTTCGTATGTATGCGATGATGGTTTCGTCGGAACTGGAAACTCCAATATAACCTGTAAACCAGACGGAACATGGACGTCTATATCTTTTTCATGTCATTCTGCTGCTAAACTCACAGACGTAACGACATCACAAATAACATCAGAATCAAGTACAGACACGGAATCAGAACCCAGAGAATATTCTGATAAAACAGAGGGCGCTTCAACAGGTGAGGAAGAAGAGAAAGCAACAAAACAGGAAGAAACTACCACGCCAGCACCTCCTGACCGACAGTCCAGTTCACGTGAAACGACAGACGAGGATTCAAATTTGTCTACGTCAGAGGACCGAGTTTCACGTTCCGCTTTGGAGCTATCAGCAACTAAAACTCCCGGATGTAAAGGTACGTACACAGCTGAGTCATCAGTATGTTATAAGGTGTATGAAGACATCACTAAAACGTATGACGAGGCAAAAGCTCGATGCGTCGTTGATGGAGCTGGACTAATGATCATCAGGTCGAAGGACAAGATTAAGTTTTTAAATCGTCGAAAAGGAAACAACAAAGATAGAGACATTGCTTATTTCATTGACGGAAGTGATGTCATAAATGAAGGGGTTTGGAAACATAGCGACGGATCCATGGTTAAAATGTCGATGTTTAAACATTCCCCTAAAGGGGGGACATCTAAGAATTGTTTAACAGTGAAAAGAAACAGAAATTTCTATGAAGAAGATTGTTCCAATCACAATGCTTTTATTTGTGAAATATTGGTAAGTTAAATTAAAAGCGCTCCACAATTGATATTTCAATGTTAACTATCTTCAGAATGAACAAAAAGGCCAGGACTGATGTGTTGTCTTGGCAGAGTGCGAATCATCTTGTTAAATTGACAGTTTTTCTTTGACCGCGATTTTGTTGATAAATAGATAAAAAAAAAGTATAAAACATAAACGTTTTCATTATCTGGTGATGTTTTTGTATATGTATATATATATATTCTTACATCGTCATAAATGACGTCACTTGATGACGTCATAGTGATAAAGAAGGCTGTGTAAGACAGTAGTACTGTCGTCGATACATCTATATTTTGCCTATGTTCACGGACTGAAGACATTACTGATTGATTCGGTACAGGTGTAACATTTTTCGTATGAAGTTACTTCTCCTAGTTTACAATGGAAGTAGTTTACATATCTTCCGTTACCTTCATTATACATTTATCCACGTAAATTTCAGTGGTAATTGTTTTTAAAGAAATATACAAATTGTCAACATGATCTTTTCTATTGTCATCTTTGTATATATATATTTTTTATGTTTGGATAGAGTACAAATTCCAATTTACTACTAAAATGGTTCAATTTGACTGTAAAGTATTGTTAACCTGATGTGATGGCTTTATTGATATAATGCCATGTTAAGTATCCTTGGTAACCCCATCACATTGTAACTATGGAAACACTGTGGTACTGCTTCTAGACTGCATAATGTACCAGTTGTAAAATTCTAGTTTGTGTACCACATTGTTGTCCATCATTTTTAGTCAAAATTTGGTTAACCAGTGAAAATTTCAACTGTCAAAAAATAAATTCAAATTTAAGTAAATATCAAAACGTTCAGCGTAAAACAATCTAAAAGAAAATACCGATATTTTATCAAAATTTCGATGAAACGGAGGTAAAATATGACAGAAAGACATATTCAGATGGAAACCCTTGAAAAATAACATGA